GCAGGCTGAGGTCCAGTGCAGTAGAAGTCCAGACGCGAACGAGTAGCGCCGCCAATAAGCTTGTAGACAGGCTCATTGCGAATCTTGCCCAGAAGATCCCAGATAGCCAAGTCAATCACCGAGATGACGGCAACAGGGAGACCTTTTCGGCCATAGAACATCGATCCCCGGTACATCTTCTCGAACAGGTCATTGGTATCTCTGGGGTCTATGGAGGGGATACATATTAGCCTGGCTCATCCATGGAAGACTATATTGATGGCCCGTACCTGCACCGAGCAAAAAGCGCTCAAAATGCTGGTGAACCAGCCAGCAAGCCGGAGGTCCACCGAATCCCGTGGCAAATCCCTTGGTCCCATCGGTAGCTTCGATCTCGACGCAGAAAGAGCCCAGGACGTTGATACCCCATGATGTGCGAGAGCCGCGGTATTGTGCCCAGCGAGTCATAGGGGTGGAGATGTTGCTGTCAATCAACCAGTGACCTCCTTTGACCTGTTGAATTGAAGAAGATTAGCGGTCTGCTAATGGTAATTCAGGCACTGCTGAGCATACATTGTGGTAATCACCTCCGGATCCCACACCATCAATGATGAAGGTGCGGATCTCTTTGATGCGGGGAAATTGGCCGGTAGAGCCCATATTGGCAGTACTTTAGCGGATAGGTATGAAGAATATCACAAAGTTTAGAGGATGAGAAGCAAAAGAAGAAGAAGAAAAGAGAAAGCGATAAATTTTTTTTTCAGGGAAATTGGAGCATATTTGAAAGCATACGAGCAACTCGGCGTCGAGGGGCATCCGGCACACTTTCCCCTCGGCTGGTGATGCCTCGGGGCAATGCTACCCCGAGAGGGTCTCCAACCTGCGCCGCCAACAGAAATCACAGGGATGAAGGGAAAGTCTTGGTGGGAAAACGATGGGCGGGTGAACGGACCCTAAGGGGCGCCACATTTCAGGTCATTCCCAGGGCAAAGTGTTTCCCCAGACCGGAGAGTTCTTCACAACGGCAGAATAGATGTGGAGGTTCCATTTGCGGGGGTCCGCGTGCCTTTTCTTGGCTCAGGCAATGCCAGCCCGAACGCTCTCTTCGTCTCTTTCATTCCTTCCTATTCTTCTCCTTTGCTTCTGTGTCGCTTTCGCTCGCTTCGCACAATCCTTGAAGCTAGCAGTCGACTCGGTCTAATATCACCGATTTCCGCCCCTCCTACCAGGATGCTTCGTTGCTGCTGATCGAACTGCTGTGGCTGGACCTGTCTATCTCCCGACAAACCCCGGACTCGCTAAAGTACCATGCCGAACGCTGCTGCAGCTGTCTCTGTTCGACAGACTCCACCACCATCCCGACTTACTGGCGATCTGGATCGGGATCACAGCGGGGATGAATCTTGGTCTGCTGCCGATAGCGAGAATGATCGTGTTGTGCAGAACGGGTCGAGCGTCCCTCGTGCGCTGAAACGTAAACGACCCCTCACAGTGTCGTACGTACCGTCCCATCCTGCTTTGAACCATTGAAAGCACAGATCCCCTTTTACCACACTCCAATCCTTGGATCTTATATTCTGAGAGAGCTGTGGCTGGTGCCATTCATCGGACATCTCACTAACCGACTAAGATGCGAGCTATGTAAGCAAAGGAAAGTCAAGTGCGGTAGGTATGCCCTGCCCATGCGGTGGCTTCCCCTCATCTTCAATCCTTGCTCCATATGGGTACAAGCTAACATGCACAGATCGGGCGCAGCCTAGCTGTGGGTGGTGCTCTCGCAATGGCCAATTATGCGAATACAAAGAGCGGAAAAAGCCCGGACTACGGGCAGGTTATGGGAAGGAGTTGGAACAAAGGCTAGGTGCGTCGCTAGTCTCTGGCAGGTCCATCTGAAGCTTTCACTCACTAGGCATGCAGATCGGTTAGAAGAGGTTATTCAGACGCAGGCTCGCCTAATCGAGACGCATATTATCCAGGGCCAGCCGACTAGGAGCCATGATATCTCCCACCAAGGACCCTTCTCATACAGTTCTCCATCAGAGACAGCTCAGGGCCCCAGTCCCAATAACGCATTCTATTTCCATGATCCACCATCTATCGTGCCCCAACCGCGTCACTCTGAACCATCCATCACCAGTCCTTCGGACATATCGGTCAAGAATACCATACAAAATCACCTGGCGAGTGCTATGTCTGCGCCCGTTTCGGTGCCACGGTCGACGAATAACGTCTCACAAGCCAACGATTATATGGGAAATGAATCATCGCTAAAGGTTCCGGTCAACCTGTACGCCAACCAGGAACAATTACTTGCAGATCCAGAGCTCGATCTACCCCCGTACGATCTCCTGTATGCGCTGGTGGACCTCTACTTTGAACATATCAATACTTGGTGTCCCATTCTCCATCGTCGTACAACTCTCGACACATTCTTTGGTCCGTCTCCCCTCGAAGATGCGGACAGAACAGTGCTCTATGCCATAGTTGCAACCACTCTTCGTTTCTCAAGCGACAGTCGGCTCAACGAACAAAACCGCAAACGATACCATGACTCCTCCAAACAGAAAGTTCTGCTCTATGGGTTAGAGAACTCATCAGTCAAGGCTCTCCAGGCCTTGGTAATCTTGGCCTTGGATTTGGTGGGGTCCTCCAACGGCCCTCCTGGATGGAAACTGCTCGCACTGATTACACGATCGGTGGTGCAGCTTGGACTAGCCGTCGAGTCTAAATCTTCACTCATTGCTCCCAGCTATCCATCTATCTATACCCTCAGGGCGGTAACGCTCCCGGAACCCGAATCCTGGATCGAAGATGAGAGCAGACGGAGGCTCTTCTGGATGGTGTATTTCCTGGACCGATATTCTACCATTGCAACCGCCTTTGATTTCGCCCTAGATGATAAGGACATTGACCGGAAACTACCATGTAAAGACGAATACTTTCTCAAAAATCAACCTGTGGAGACAAGATGGTTCCAACGCTCAAGTGATCGTGCTGACTACGTGACTCGTGCCGAAAATGTTGGCAGCTTTGGACTCTATGTCGAAGTATTAGGCATCCTCTCTCGGATCCATGCTTTCTTGAAGCGACCTGTCGATATAGGAGCTTTGTCGGATGTCGAGGAGTGGCAGACCACATACCGCAAGCTAGACAGCGAGTTAACGTCATGGGAATTCGGCCTTCCAGCCGAATATGCCTACGAGAACTCCTCCCGGTTGTTCAATGGATCCAAGTTCACCAAGGGGATCCATTGCGACTGGGTTCAACTCCATGCCACTTACCAAACGTGAGTATTCTTACCATCGATTACATGCAATCGCATCACGAGCTACTCGATCCTAACATTCACCCATACAGTGCGGTTATCCGGCTCCATTCATCAGCAGCATACCCCACCACGCGATCACCAATCTTCACCCCCTCATACAGCGCAAGCCAGCGATGCCTGCTTGCAGTGGACAACATCCTCTCTGTGACCCGCTTCGTCGTCGACAACAACATGCTCGACAAACTAGGGCCCCCATTTGCCTTCACTCTCTGGGTATCCGCCCGGCTCCTCCTCGTCCACGGGTCAACAATAGCCCATACCGTCAGCCCCGACATCCTCTTCTTCGTCGACACCCTAGCCCAGATGGGCAAACACTGGAAAGTGGCAGAGCGCTACAGCTCAATCCTGCAGCGCGTCCTCGACGAATACGGCGAATACCAACAATCCGGAGTCTCCGATTCGGAACGAGCCACTCCATCCACCGTAAAGATCCTTGCAGACATGCGCCGCTGCGCATTCGACCTCGATTTCCTCATCTCCCGCCAACCCCGCACCTCTCCAGCTGGCAGCCAGCCCTCCGCATCACCAGCGGCAGTCAGAAACCCAGCCCCCAACGAGCTCGAATACCTAGACGTCTTCGGCTTCTTCAACGTCCCTCGTGTTCCCGCTGCTCGAGCCACAGATATCCTCAGCCTGGATATCGGCGACCCAGTGAACAACTCCATGTCAGTCAACGGGTTGACCGGGACAGGTGGCGGCAGTAGCAGCAGTAATACCAATCACGTTGTCGATGGCTCACATTCTAACGCCAATGAATTCAATATCACGAATTATCTGATCCCCACTCCAGAAAGTGACTGGCTTTTTCGTCCGAGTGGATGAATGTTCATGAAGACCGGTCTCTATGCCTGTCTATGTCAGTCAAAGGGTTGCTAGTTGATTAGTTTCACAAGCTATACTGCAGAACGACGGAGAGTTTTTGTGACTCCTGTTGGCTAGGTCAGCTGCCTCAGCAGCTAGAAATGGCGTTGTGATGCCGCCCAGTCCTAATGCGTGGTCTGAAACTATTGTGTCGGACTATGATACTGGCGGGCTTGATGTATAGTATCCAATAACCCCGTGTTAATTTACGTCATAATAATGAATGATGAGTTTCACGATGTGATGCGATCTTGACAATGAATGCATCACCTGGATGTCTGTAATTTTCATTCTTCGAGTTATTACACACACACACTACTTAGGCACTCGAGTGCTCCGAGAACAATTGATAGACAAACAAGGAACAATTCACATAACTCCCCGCATCGTTCTGATACCATTACAAGTGCAGACAAAGAAGAACAGAAAGGGAAAGGGAAAGTAAAGGAAAAGAAAGAGACGACAAGGAAATCGGGAATGAGAGAAGAGATGAGTCTTGAAAGTAGTGTCATGTCCCTGAGACGTAATGTATCCAGAGGGGGCCAGTTTCCAGTAGGCAAGCTCCTGTTCACTAAGTCAAAGATGGTTCCAGCCCAGACAATTCCAGGATAGCAAGCAATGTGGAGATGAGAAAAGTATGAAGGAGGGACTCCAAGTCGAAGAATCCATGTGATGTGTACCCAATCGTGGATAGAGCACCAATAGCAGAGAATGTGCATAATTGAAGATGAACGCCACCAATTCTTGTTCTGTTGAATCCGAAAAGAGTTGCAAGAGCAGGAAATCCAGCGAGAAAGAAGATGAAGATGGTATGTGAGTCGATCCAAGACACACAAAAACCAAATTGAATTGCATAGCTGCCATGATCGTGAAAATAGGACCCCAATAAGTCCGTAGTGACTAATAATTTGTATTTGCCAGTCTGTTCCAGCTTCGACCCTCTGCAGGTGGGCTGTGCTCGCAGTAAGGAGGGCTGTCATTCTAGTCAGAGTCTCAAGAGGCAAGCCTGGTTAGTTAGTCGTGCTATGCTCGAGTTTAAACCAGAGTAACACTTAGGCTCTGCCTGGGTTCGAATCCGAGTCAGAAGGCTCAACCCGGACAAGGATCTCTTCTAGAAATCCTTCTAAGAATGAGGTCACTTGAGCGCCCATTCCCACAGGTGCCTCGTTGTCCCAGCGTTCAAGCTTTGTGAACATGCCGTAGATATCGCCCACCAGGTTTTCCATCATTCCATGGACATACTCCTCACGTGTTTGATATTCGCTGATATTGCCGCTAGCATCCCTCGTTGTGTTAGGTGAAATGAGCTCCAGACGCCGCGTCCGGCGACGAATGGCTGCTTTGAGAGCAGGCAGTATCACACTATTTAGAGCTGTGATCTCGTTGGAAGGGGGCATCTGGGCCTGGCCCTGAATCGCCTCCCGCTCCCGTACTCGTTCATCAAGGGCCCCATCGGTTGTGGTATTGAGCTGGAGAGGATCGGGCCTCATGGATGTAGGCCGAGGACCATGCGGCAACGCCTGCTGCGGTCGTGATGGTTGGGATGGCGGTGACATATGTCTTGGGGCTGGGGGAAGCCGTGCTTGTGGTTGTGCGTATGTTGGACGTTGCGGATATGCTTCCTTGGCAGGTCTAACGTTCTGGTTCACAGCATTTGAGGTCGGTGGATCTGGCAGGCGTTGATAGGATGGAACTTCCGGCAGGTGTGACTGCGGGGCCTTTTGGTATCCTTGTAAACCTGGGGGAGCACCCCGTGCTTGCGAGAAGGCTGTCGAAGGGCCTGGGGAGCGATCTAGCTGGAGAAAGCTCAGATCTTCAGCCAGAGCTTGTTGTAGAGCTCTATCGTAGTCACTACCAGGACTCCCCTTGGGTTGACGTGAGACTGGCTGTTGTAGATGTGAAGGTGTCTGGGGTGTGAAATCTGATGCTTGTTTGATGGGTGACGGTGGCAAGGGAACCTTGGTGGGCGACAATGGCTTGGGCATAGCACTAGGCATGTTCTTCGTCTGCAGGGGTGTAGAGGGCATATTGCTCTTTGGCCGCAAAATGTCTCGACGGGGCTCGTCTTTCATGTTCCACTCATTGGCTTCATGACTTCTCGCATTCATGTCCGCCTCTTTCATCGGCTTGAGAGGGGGCGCTCTCCCTGCCGGCCGCACGGTGCCAAAGTCCCACAAATCGTCCTCTTCCTCAGGTGGAGACGTCTTAGGTGGAGGTTCCTGAATATCTTCATCGTCAGCCCCCCTATTGCCGTGAATGGCGTTCCAGCGCTCGTAGCGTTCAATCAGCTCGGTCAGATAGGTTGTCTTCTTTGCCCTCTTGATGAACGGGTGCTCGAGCAGCTCTCTGGCGGACGGCCGTTCCCTGGGATCTCGTCTCAAACAAAGTTCCACAAAGTTTTTGAACGCTTTACTGTAATCGCCTTGCAGAACGGGCGGGGGGTTCTTGGGAATCAAAAACAACACCTTCATAGGATGGATGTCCGAGTAAGGAGGCTCTCCGTTGGCCAATTCAATCGCAGTGATTCCAAGAGACCAGATATCGGCCTTGTAGTCGTATCCAGATTGCTTAATCACTTCCGGGGCCATCCAGAATGGAGTACCCACGAAGGTATTCTTCTTAGTCATTGTGGCTGACAGTTGACTAGAAACTCCGAAGTCAGCCAATTTCACTTGGCCGTTCGAGGTAAGCAGGATGTTTGCAGCTGGCGCAGATATTAGTCTCCGATATAACGGTGGTGTGGCAAGCGAGATCAGGTGGTACCTTTTACATCCCGGTGCAGCTTCTTGTCACTATGTAGATAGTCCAGCCCTCGGAGTAGCTCTCTTATGATGATCATGATATACTCCTCCGGGATTGTTCCCGGGCGCATAAGATCGGAGCAACTGCCACCGGAACAAAACTCCATGATGATCCATAAACTTGATCCCTTCAAGAAAGAACCATGGTATCGAGTGACATAAGGAGAATTGAGTTCCGACAAGATGGCAATTTCTTGGATAATATCTTCCACCTCATCTTCGGCATTCTCGACGTCGATGATCTTGATAGCAACAGAGGCACCGGTACGCTTATCAACGCTGCGAGTAATAGCAGTGTAAGCCGCCAAGATCTTGGAATATAGTGGGCAATCAGAGCAAGATAAGAGAGGTGCCTGTACATACCCTTTATAGACTCGTCCGAAGCTCCCGCCGCCTGCAACGGTATGACTGAGTTAGGAGAGGCTGATTGCGCGGCAAGATGAATCACACCATGCCCGAGTACGTACCGATGCAGCTCTGCTTCATGTAGATCGTCTCTGGATCCACTAGGCCTTCCATCTTGGCTGTAACTAACCGCCGGCGGAGTAGAAATCAATTGTCTCGCCCGGTTCTGCAACACTGGCAAATGAAAGTCAGCATCTGCCATAAATGAGAGGAGATGATTGTTTGTGGAATGCGAGCACCACATGCGCGGAAGACCGAGAACATATAAGAGATCAGATGATGGGGAGGCAGCTTCGCGCGGGCGGTTGTGGAGGATCAAGGGCGACATACCTATCGCCTAAGCTAGGCTAGGAGGTGGAGGTAGGGCTTAGATAGAAAACAAGTAAAGAAAGGAGACATTGAATTTCCGAAATAGATAAATCGGTCAATCAATCAATGATTGCGGTTCAAGGAGAGATGCTAAATAGAATTTCGGGCGAATGCATCGGGAGCAGAAGCTGACGCTCAACTATGATTATTTTGGGGATGACAACCGACAGATAGCTAGCTAGCTGGAGTGTCTGTGTGTCTCCGAGGGAGGCGGAGGGGGAAAAGAGGAGGAAGAATGGGTACAGCCACCGATCCTTGCGTGAGCTGAAAGGGAAAGAAACAGGGCGCAAGGGCTGAAAAACGGGTAGGCGATATAAGCTAGGCAGATGAGAATAGATGGAAGGAATGGGAGGGAGAGAATTAATTCCCTTGCATGTCAACAACAAGAAGCAAAAGCAGAAGAAGAAGAAGCAGAAGCAGAACAACAAGAACAACAACAACAATAACAATGACAATTGGAGACAAGTTGGAACCACGAAACCAGGAACAGGAACCGGCGATTACCAAAAATACCCACCCGAATACCGGCCACTGATTGATTGCTTGATTGGGGAGCAACGCGGGGTTGTTTCTGGCCGGGCGGTGAGTTGGTTTGGTTTCGATAAAACCCCCACCATCTCTTAACACCTATTTGAGGCAGGCGGTGAAGAGATGAGTTGCCTAGTCTGGTATTGCTTATTGTGGAAGCTGCACAAAGTACGGAACTGCCCTGGTGTAAAAAGGGATATCAAGGGTAATATGTGTGATTGTTCTCAGATTTCTTTCTCATGAAGCCATTAGATCCATCTCCTCTTTATGCAGACTCGCAAATATAGAGGACAATTACTAGTCAAAGCATGACCCGATCTACATAATTGGAAAGAACCACTCAGTAGTCCTGATGTCGGTGCTTGGCTTCCAGAGAGATGCTCATCCGTGTTAAACAAAGGCATCCATCCCCAGAGCAGCAATTTGGCCCCAAGAGCAACAGGCACCAGTCCTGACAGCTCCTTAGGTCCCCGTCCTGGACCTCCCAAGTCTCTCCTCAAGTGCCATGTCCCACTGCAGTCTATTCCTCGACATACCCTATCATGACCGTACCATTCTTCAGTCCAGCATCGGCGACGGTCTGATCCAGCGAGTCAATCAGATTTCGGCCCATTGCATTCAGCTCAAACTCCACGCCGGCTTTATCCTCCAAGGGCGGATCAGCCTTGAGCCATTCGTAGATCCGCTGGACAGGATCCGTCAAAGCAAAACGTCGAATCACTCGCCCCGATGGGTGTCGGAACTGAATGCGCGTGGTTGTGGCAGGATCGGCGGGGGGCTCTGTGTGGGGTCGATTGTCCGGGATGGACAAGAAGACGCTCTGTTCAGGTTGTTGTTCGGCCTCTTCCATCCCAACGTCTTCAGCCCGTCCCTTGCCCTTCACATCATCAGTACTGCGTGTGAGATCGTCGGGGTCCTCCACCTTCGGACCCTGCGACGCCTCATCCCCTAGGCTGTTTCTCATTGCCATCTCCATCATCTCTTCTTCAGTCATTGCATCGATACTCTTTTCCTTCTTCTCCGGCTTCCTCTTCGCCACGGGATTTCTCACGTTGTGCTTCAGACTGTATCTGTCGAGGAACTCGTGGACTTGCATCAAAAAGTCCGACGCCTTGATTACGGGTGGGCCCGACCAGACCTTCATCTGTTCTCCAGTCCGGGGGTCGACAATCGCGATGTGGGGATAATTATCTGAGACGTCGCTGGCCTGAAAGTAGTACTGCAGATACGGTCCCGCGCGAGGGTCGTCCTTGGAATACTGCATGAAGATAAAATGCTCCTTAACGGTGTCTCTCACGCCCGCATCCTTCCAGAGGTCTCTGTTCAGAACCTGACAATCAAAGACTGAAGGGTCCTGGATATTGACCATCAACCACTTCTCATTGTCGCGACCTTCCTGACGAGCGACATCCCACGGAAGCCTGGACATGATCTCGAAAGGCGGGCGGTACATCTCAGCTAACATATTAGACTTATTCGAGGCCTCGGAAGCTCCTCCAGTCGCTGCAGCCAACCGTTCACGTTCCGAGGTGTCGTCCTCTCCAGACCATATCGATGTGTCTCGCTGGTTGAAGATGCCCGGCCGGTCTAAGGAGAAGCAAAGTTAGCCGTGCATTCGGAAAAATAGTGATAGAAGGCAGGGTGAAGTGCTAACTGTTTCGCTGTTGGCGCGCGCGCAGTTGACCCAATATGCTGGCATGCATATCGCCATCGTCAAAGTCCGCTTCAGGCCCCACCAAGGTTTCTGTTGTACGGGCCATAGGCGCACGCACGTTCTCTTCGGCATCTCCTCCGCCGTACATCTCTTCTTGGAGGCGACGGGCCATGGCGGCATCATCTTCGAACATAGCGCCGTGGTTCCGAGGCGCAGAGCGAGACTCATCTATTGTGACGTCGTCATCGGAGTCGATATTGACCACCCCGGACTCGTTTCCATAGCCGCCAGCATGAGAAGCTTGCTGCGGTGTGGAGGCAGACGGTAAGGGATCATCAGTCAGTGGCGCACCGCCATTCTCGAAGAAAAGCTGTACAGCCTGTTCGATGTTGAAATCAGTCAGCTGCAGATATTGGGTAGCCAGCTCTGGCTTGGAGCCGGTGATTTCAGTGAACTGCGCTACCACGTCGCCTTCCATGGCGGGCGCACGGCACAGGTATTAATCTAAGAAAGAGGCGAAGAAGAAAGGATGAAGGATATCAAGAGATCGCCGTGATGGGAGGAGGGTGTATGCAACAGGAATCCCAACAGAAAGGTCGAAGGCAGGCAATGTGATGCAAACAGCTGCAAACAGTAATGTCAGTGGTAGGCGGTGATCAACGAAGATGGAGGAATGAAGTTGAAAGAACTTCAAGATAAATGCATATAAAGATAAAGACAATAGAGGGGAGATTTTTGAGGAGACTCCGCACTAGTGAACCAGGAGATTGTACAAGGGAATGCAGCACAAACAACCAGGATGCGCGGCGGTAATAGTTTAGGTACTATCCGTCAGGTAGAATTGGTGACGCACTTCACAGCATCCGATGAGCAGACGGATAATCACGCGGTCCGACCCTGTGGCTGCCACGCCTGAGAAGTCAGGCAGGACCTGGCAGCTAAGTAGAACCCCGCGGGAAGAAACGTGACTGGTAGCCGAAGCGCGTCAGCCTCGCATATGATCACGTGATAAGAACAAGCTACGCGTAGTAACACGCGCACCTTAACTCGACGCGTCTTGTTAATTATGCCTCCTTGGGAAAATCGTGATGGATAGCAGTACCTCCACTCCAAATACTACTCTACTACTACTACAGTATTTTCTCTAACACCCGCTCCTTCCCTTTCATCATCGATCATCTATCTCCTTCTCATCTTATTTATCCCGGTTGCTCTTGCCAATTACCATTGAATCTATCATATCATGGCTGCTTCGGTCCTCGGTAAGCGCCAGCGAGGTGCTATCGAACCGGAAGGTACGACTTCCATATCCCTCAGTTCCTCCGTAATTTCTTTTAGATCATTTAAACTGACGTTCCTTTGTATTAGTACCATCATTACCCGTGCGTCGAGCAAGCAGGCGCCGGACACAACAACCTCACGTCCGTCAAGAAAGCGAGCCCCCTGCACCCCAACCGCGCCAACTTCGGTCACGGACGAGAAACGGCAATGGCGCCGCTATTCAAGAAGAGCCTCGGGAAGAATCAAAGAACGATTCGGTCGATAGTGGACAGACAAAGCGTACTGTGCAGGTTGGCAAGGCGGCCATATCACCTATTAAGCGCAGCGATGCTACAGATCCGGTCAATGGTAGGATTTCTCCCTTGATCTCCCTGTTCAAATAGAACTAATCCATCTAGACGAAAACTCGACACCAGTTGAGTTCAAGACACCTTCGAAGTCCAGATTTCGCGATGCACTCGATTCACCTCCTCCGACAACACCGAAACATCGAGTCCTGATTGGCGGGAAATCTATGACTCCACGCACACCTCGACATATATCGACGCCAACCACCACGCAGACTATATATTCCGAAGCAAGGCAGATGTTTGCGCGGGGTGCAACTTCAACTCGGATAGTGGGTCGGGATACCGAACGGGAGAAATTGACCTCGTTCATACAAGATGGTGTTGATTCGCGCAAAGGTGGTTGCTTGTATGTCAGTGGTCCCCCGGGTACTGGAAAGAGTGCCTTGGTTCAGGAAGTGTGTCACGACATGGACTTGAAGTCTCTCAAAATCGCACACCTCAATTGCGCAAGTATGCGGGGTGCTCGTGACGTCTACAGCAGGCTTATCGGCGATCTCTGCAACGACCATGACGTCTTCAAGAAGAGCGAAGCAGATCGACTACGACTGATTTTTACATCCGAAGAGGAAGATGATATGTTCTTGGTTACTCTGGACGAGATCGATCATCTCCTCACCGCGGATTCCGGTATCCTCCAGTCCTTGTTTGAGTGGTCGTTGCAGGAAAAGTCTAGACTCTTGCTCATCGGCATTGCCAATGCGCTAGACTTGACTGACAGATCACTCCCACAATTGAAGGCCAAGAACTTGAAGCCTCGCTTGCTTCCCTTCTTGCCTTACAATGCTGGCCAGATTGCCAGCGTAATCACCAATCGTCTTCGCTCTTTACTCCCTGAAGGTCAAACGGTGGAGCCCAATTTCGTTCCCTTTGTCCAACCAGCAGCTATTCAACTGTGCTCGAAGAAGGTGGCATCGCAGACTGGCGATCTACGGAAGGCATTCGAACTGGTCAAGCGTGCCATCGATCTTATCGAGCAGGAAGCACTCAAAAAGCTCGAGGCACAGAATACCAACCCCGAGAGTCCTACCAAAACAATCCTTGTCGAGAACAACAATCTTTCCTCATCCTCAAAGTCATCTTCACCCAAACAGACTCCTACTTTATCTTACACTGCTATCACAGCGCCTCGAGCCAGCATTGCGCATGTTGCGCGTATCACTTCGGCGGCATTCGGACAGGGGACTGTCCAGCGACTACAGGGGCTCAACCTTCAGCAGAAGGCAGCCATATGTGCTTTGATTGCCCTGGACCGCAAGCGGCGGCAAGGTGAATTCCCGGGCACACCGTCCAAGACCAAGCATTTGCCGCCGACGATCAAGCAAGTGTACGACACATATTGTACTTTGTGTCGGCAAGACAATATCCTACACCCTCTTACATCTACCGAATTCAAGGACGTGCTCAGCAACCTGGAGACGATGGGCCTTGTAGGTGAATACCAGGGCCGTGGTCGAGGTGGTACAGTCGCCGGCGGATCCGATCTGCGACGCAGTCCTTCCAAGCTCCACGGGCCAATGACACCCAGCAAAGCCTTGGATGAGCAGAGCCTGGTTTGTTTTGTCTCTCAAAAAGAGATTGAGACACAACTTACCGGAGCGGGAGAGGGTATCCTCCGGAGACTGCTCACTGGTCAAGGGCTGTAAACACGTCCTATCTATTCCCTTTACTGTACAAAACCCCAGCGAGCATGCAATTTTGAATGTCTTCTGCAGGCAGTTGGTTCATTCTCTCGGCGTTGGATAAAGAGATGCATATGCACATATCCACTTAGCGATGATCCCCACATTGGCATACGGCGTTACATACATACAACTAGTAAATGATAATGACAGCTTTCAACAAACCATTGACTACCATTACACATGAAGATAAAACAGAAGCAGTAGATTTCAGAAAATAAAATTTCTACATGATGCTCAAATCAAAACACATTGACTCTGCATGTGAGGTGATAGAATATGATATGATATGACGATGCTATACACTGAATTGGACTTTAAAAATCCACATCAAATATGAATGATATCGCTTATAGAGAGCAAAAACAGACCAATTCAACTTGAATCGATAGAGGTTAGAAAAAGAAAAGTACAGAATAAACAGCTATGCATACATACATAATGATAACACAAAAGGTAACAGGAGGGACAACAAAGATGTTGGGTATGTGAAGAACATTGAAGGAGAGGCATATAGATATGAATAGATAGATAGGTAGGTAGATGAATAGCTGATGACAAAAGGTGAAACAGTTCGATAGGTCCGCCGCTAATAAAAACACAAAGCACACACCCTCACACACATACAAGACGCCATTCTCAAGCAATAAGGCCTGCTTTAGGTTGAGATGGTGTCTGTTGTGTTGTGTGGAATGGCTGGTCCAAGGATCAAGGCTCGAGTTTTTACGGATGCTAGTCGGTACCCTTGGTATTGGTAGGCTCCTTGTCTTGTCTTGTCGTGTATTCCCGGGAAGTTGTGGTAGCAGCGTTATCGTTCGTGTCCTTGAAAGAAAGAAAGGATATGAATAAGGTAACAAACATTCTTTTATGAGCCCGATTCTGTCTTCTCCAGGTTTGGAGGGAGACGGGTAAAAGGCTTCTATAAGTCATAGACACATCTAGTCATCGTCCATTGGCTTGTCTTCCAATGTGACGCCTTTCGGCTCGGTCTCGGCGAGACTGCTGCGCTTGCTGTCTGTGCCCTCCGTGCTTGCGACGGTCGGGAAGCTGGAACGGTTTCCGAGGCCGGGCTTGCGAGTGTAGGAAACGCTAGACCGGGAGATGGTTGATGAGCGCTTCTCGGTATCTTGGGTGGGAGTTGTGGTTGGGGTCACAGAAGCGTCCGATTCAGGGGCCGGGGGAGGACTGGCACTACCCGATGAGGGGCTTGCACTGGCCGCAGCGGATACAGGAGATTCGCTCAAAGCGCCGTTGGTGACTGACTCAGGACCGTTGATGTTCACGCTTGTCATCTGTTCCGCAGCGGTGGGAGATTCGCTTTTGATGGGAACATCCAGGCTGCTGCGAGCGACAGTCCGTCTTTCGGTGGGGCTGGTCACGTTGATGGGGAAACGTCTGGTCTCTGAAGCGCCGCTGGAACGGTCACGGCGATGCTTCTGGGGAGGAGCCGGGCTGTTGGCACGGCTGCGGTCGAGAATAGCACGGTTCCGGGCCTCCATTGCGGCCCGGCGGTTGCTCTCATCTGTGCTGATGGCACGAGGACGGTTGGTGGATCCACTGACCCCCAGAGCACTTGACTGGCGTTTCAACTCACCAAAGATGGCGTCCTTGTGAGCAAATAGATCACGGATGAGACGGTAGCTGTGCCGTTCGTTCATCGTAAGGCTGCTTTCTGTGCGAGGACGGAGAATGCAAGGCGACAGGGCCTGGGCAAGTGCAGAGACATAACTTTCATCGGCAGATGTCAGATCAATCAAGCGCGTAAAATGGGTCATAATGGCGTCAAGCGTAGCAATGTTATTCAGACGGAGTTGTCCGAGAGTGCTTTGAAGGACCTTGATGCGGCCCTCTTCCGTCGTCTCATGGGCAGTAGTCGAATAAATTGTCTTCACAATCTCATAAACCTGGGAGGAAACCAAAGAGTCTACGGTAGCTGTTAGACCTGAATCATAAGTAAAGGTTTGAATAGACACGAACCTGGCAGCTCAAGGAGGTACAATTTCAGAACACTCGCGATGATGGGGATTTCATATTTCTCCAGGATCTCGTTATAATCCGCTTTGCTGTTGTTCAATGCGCTACGGAGGTGGTGTGTGGCTGCCAAAGGCACATCGTACAGCCAGATCGCACGTCGTGCCTCGTCACCCTCAAGGTCAGGGTAGCCTTTCCAAGTTAGATTCAAAGCGCTCCAAGGACCGGGTGAAAAGACAACTTACGGTTATCCAGGTAAGTCAGTAGAGTGGTGACCACAATGGGGACGCGCTTGCGGTCGGCTCTGGCTCTCGCTTCGAGGTCAACACCAAAATTTTGATCTGGAGAGTTTTAGCAAACACTGAATCTTCATAATGTCCAGTCGGCAGAGCGCATACCTTCCACAGATCCGTAGTAGTTCTCATACGCCTGCACACGAGGTACGAAACCACCCGTTCGGTAGTTCTCCAGAAGGTAACGGAGATCGCCTAGCGGCTGGATGGTCTCTTGGTAAAGCATCATGTGGTCAACCGTGCTTTGCAGGTTGGGAATGACATTGCTGATGGCGCCCGAGAAATCCAGGATCACGGCCTTGATTGCCTTGAGGCGATCAAGCTCACACTGCTCCATGAAGCGCAAGTTTTCAACGACCTCTTCCTCGAGCTTGCATCTGATCATGTCCAGTTTGCGCACCGCAGCCTTGTACCGTTCATCGGCCTCGCGAGCTTCCCTGCGCAACTTTTCCGCTGGTGTCTCGTTGGGGTACGGGTTGTTGAGAGGGTTCCAGCCGGCCAGCATCTCAGAAACAGAAGACAGCGGAGACTCGCTGCCGTCCTCGCTCGTTGCCACAGAAGTTACGCGCATAAGAGGCTTCTTCTTCTCTGGAACACCGGTGATCTGGAACACCTTAGGGCGCCACTGGTAGCGCATCTTAGAGCTGTTCGCGAAGGTGCTGCCCATGTTTCCGACCAGACGGAGGAATCCATTGTCCACGAGATCCTGCCCGATTCTCTCAGAATAGGTTATGCTAGTTCCGTTCAGGTGCTTCTGAGTGTATTCCACAATATCCGCACCGGTCGACGTGTTCTGATATGTGCCGATGATCGGCACCTTGACCTCGCCAATCTTGATGTTTTCCAGCATATGTGTCAGAAGCCTCTTCAAATCCTCCGGAGGGTAGATCCGATCGCCAATCTCCACCGGCTCCTCCTCCTCCTGTTCTTCTGGCAGGACAATCTTGGGGGTGGGCTTAATTTTCGGACTTGTTTCGGGGGCCTGGAAAGCGAGTTTGTTCTCTTCCTCGAGGTCTTCAACCACACGGCACTTGTTGAAATAATGGCTTCGGAGTTTCTTGACCAGATCCACCTGTTTCGAATGTTCCTTGATTCGAGCCTGGAGATCATCGTGGGAATTTTGAATTCGAGCCTCGTGCTGATCGCACCAACGTCTGAAGGGGCTAACGACTAGCTCCCGGATGTTCGACGCGATCTTCTGGTGGTTCTTGGATGCCTCGACCATCTCAGTGCGAACTCCCTCGTAAGCCTAGACGAAAAGACCTAATATCAGTATCACCTAGATCGGAATTTTCCGTACGAGTAAAAAAGGTACCAACCTTTCTCACGCTTGCTCCGTCATCTTTTCCGAACCCTGTTGGCGTAACCCGATCCACGGTCGGCGCAATATCCCCCAATTTCAGACCGTACTGTTCCTCCGCATCTGCGCGCATAGAAGCAATGGTGATGATCTGCTTGTTCTCGACGGCGCCCTGTTGGAGTTTCCCGTAAAGCACCCCCAGACCGGTGGCGTAGTCGGGGGTCCAGAACGAATCCGCGAAACCAGGCATAATGAAGAAGGAACCAAGCAAGCCGACGTCAACGGAAGATTGCTTGGTATCGGCTTGGAGCGATGCGCGACCAAGCTGAGAGCGAGATGGAACCTGAGGAGAAACGGCCGGCGTTCGTCACCGACTCTAGGCGACTAGTGTAAACTTTCCGATGGACCACAGAAAACGCTTGTTTGAAGGTAATTGCCGGTGAAAGTGCCTGGAAGAAACGGAGAGAAACCAGCTCTGTTTGCAAGCGCCGGATAAATATCCACCTCTGACGGATGCTATAGTGGCACACAACGGCTGCGAGGAGACATAGGCCCGGTGACGGGTATGCGAGGGCGGCTACAGGAGACCAGTTAGGTGGTGAGGAGAGGAGGGGGGTTTGAATTGGGAGGAGAGCGTGAAAACAAGGGAGGCAGAAGAGTAAAAAGCAACAATAAAGCTGAAGTGAGAGAGAGAAGTAGAAGGAGTGTTTTGAAAAAGAAAAAGGTGGTCAAATTGCAACGGGGGTGGGAGGTGGAGGAAGAAGTTAGTTTAGTTGCAGTATGAGACACTCAAGACGGATGACAACAGGGGAGACTGGATCTTAGGTTCAGGTTGGCCGAGATCTTTTGGAAAGGAAAAGCAAGCAACTTTCCACTTTCTCGCCCGGCTCTTCTTGGGCTTCTCCGTCATGCGTAATTTACGCCTTACCGACCTGAAACTAGACCGTTGGCGCCTCAGCCATCACGTGTGGTTGCCGGGTGGCTATTTTTGGGGGCTCCGTGAAATATTACCGATATTACAGAGATTACAGCACTTGTCTTAGATTGATTCCCCCCAACCACGCCTGATGTTTCCTAGTCTTTAGGGCTGGTGGGAATTTTTGGGAAGACCCATCGCGCAGCACCGGTAACCCAAAATAATGGGAAGAGGAAAAGAGCCGAACTCTCAGATCATTTCCCAAGAAGGAAGGCTCTGAAGACGATTGCTTTCACTAGACACAAAGAAGGGGAACTGGTGGTCGACAGGCGTTAGTAATCTGGCACATCTTCACCCACTGATCTTCCCCCTGTATGACTGACTAGTATGTACAGACAGCGTAGAGACGCTGTCAATACTTCAAGTAAGGTATTATTATTTACGTGGCTGGAGTTGGTTGCTGCTGACTCGTTGTGGTTGTTCTCCAGATGCAAACACGCCAAGCCCGGAGACTGGCCAGCAGCAGATCCAAAACACGGCATTGCCGAACAGCTACTGTCATGTTGCTTTTTTGGCACCACGCAGTTGACATGCTTCTATTCTTAGGGTCTGAATCATTTACTTCTAAACACGGAAGTCCATACAGTTGGTCTCAATTTGTTCATTGTCAACATACTTTCCTCCACTACTAAGCAGCGTCGACTGTCTTCGTCGTCGAGTGAACTTTCTCATTTAGTGAAGAACATTCATTCGCCATCCCGATGCATCGGCTCAGCGCTGATCAATATGCTACCTAAGGAACATAAACTGAAGAGGGAGGCATGATCATTATCATACATTATTTAAAGCGCAAAAAGGGGATATGGATGGAAGAAAGCGCAGCCCAAGCATGAAACAAGCCTTAACACCTTTGAAATGTGACCCAACCCAGCTTTAGCAGAAGAATTTCCACACCTTCTTCCACGCAGGCCAGGCCGCCTGTTCTGCCTTTTCTTCTTCGATGAGCGCTTGGATGTCGAGATCGCGACGACCGGTGTGGAGATCCATGTCCTTGGCCCGGATGAAGGGGGTCTTGAACCAAAGCTTGTAGGGGATGTAGAAGGCCAACACGACCGGCGCAGCAAGGTAGTCGGAGAAGAAGTTGGAAACTAATGCCGAAGCCGACATTTCACTATATCCGCTAGGCGCAAAGCCAACCCAAAACTGAGCAATCAGAACGAGGCAGTTGAAGATGAGTCCGATCCAGGAACCAATCACACCAGGCTGGGACGTGAAAGCCAGCTCGTCGAGGCTGTGCCCTTGCAGTTTCCAGGCGCGACGGAAGCGAATGTGACACAGGCAGATTGACCCCCAGGTGAAGATGGAGGAGAGACCCGAGATGGCCATCATCCATGTGAAGGCTTCACCCTCCTTGTCGGAAGCGGCCAGGAACCCAAGCAAACCAAACGCCGAGGCAACGATGAGAGCCGGAAGAGGCCGGCCCTTGCGATCGATGTAGGCGAAAATTTTTGGGGCCTGCTGTTGCTCAGCCAGAGCCGCCAGAGTTCTCGAAGAGCCGTAGACAGCTGCATTGCCGACGGAGAGCACAGCAATCATGATGACAACGTTCATCACCGAAGGCAATCCAGAAATTCCCGCGTTCACAATGGAGATGACGAACGGAGACGCTTTGGCATCGGCGCTAGATGAACCATCGAGGAGTCGGGAATCGGTGTAGGGGACAAGGAGGCCGACCAAGGTAAGAGACACGATGTAGAAGAGGGTGATACGCCAGAACACCTGCTTGACGGCGGTCGGGAGCGATTTCCTAGGATTAGCGGTCTCTGCGGCGGCAAGGCCAACCAGCTCCGTACCAGCAAACGCAAATGCAGCATTCACAAAAACACTGCAAAGACCCTTGAAGCCATCGTGGAAGGCACCTGGATCGTGCCAGTATCTTCCACCAATGTATCCACCATGGGGCCCACCGCCACAAGTCAGGATGATACCGAGAATACTGTATGAGGTCAGTCAACCCTCATCGCATACTAATGTTTGAGGGGGCAGATCCAATAGACTCACATGAAGCCAACTACGGCGGTGACCTTGATTATGGAGAACACGAACTCTGCTTCACCATAACCTTTAACACCGAACATATTGATGCACACAATGACAGTCCAAAAAATAGCGACCCAGGCAGCATTGGAGACGCCCGATTCCCAGTAGTCGACAGTTAACGAGGCGGCGACAATTTCGGTGGGGAGGGTCACGAGCCACTGCAGCAGATAATTCCAACCCATGGCGAAACCCCAAGCGGGATCGATGAACCGGGTGGAATAATGCGAGAACGAACCAGCAACAGGGAAGAGAACGGCCATTTCACCCAGCGCATGCACAGTGCAGTAAAGCATGCAGCCGATCAAAGCATATGCGATCAGGACCGAGGCTGGGCCACCGGCCGCCAGGACCTTTCCAGACCCGACAAAAAGACCAGTACCTAAAGCGCGATGCAGTCAGCAAGGACGAAGCCCGGATGGCGTGAGCGTCGGCATCAAGGGACCATGCATACCAATTGAACCACCAATCGCGATCATCTGAAGGTGGCGACCTTTGAGCTTGCGTGCCAGTGGAGAACTAGCAGTGTTCTGAGCAGCATTTTCGATATCGAAGGTCTTCCCATCGTGACCAGGTTCATGGTGCGACGAGGCACGAGCATTAGGATCTCTCTTGAAACTATCGATAATTCGCTGGCCAAAGCTGCCCTTGGTTGCTTCAGATTCGCCGTAGAGAGGGGGAGCGTCGCCGAACGAGGGCTCCGACTTGGGTTCAATGAAATCCTTCTCCATGGCCGAAGAGGTGTGATGCAGATTGCGAAGAAATGCAACGATTCACGATGGAATGAAGAAGGAACAAAGTGTTCACCAAAGCCAGTTCAGAAACCCCAGTGAAAAAACTAACGGGCGGGGTGAGGAGAAGGTGAGAGAGTGAGGTAGGCAGGAGGAGGAGGGGAACTCCAGAGATGGTGACTGTGTTGTTTGCAGCCCGTGCAAGTGAAGGGTATCTCAAATCCCAAGATAGTAATGATAAGGAGGGGAGGGCTTTAGGGGAATACTATGAGCACCTCTGAGGGAACCGGGCGGCAGGAGTTTCTTATTTCTTTTCCGTAGAGAAGCGGAATCCGGGAAATGGGAAAATTCCCTGAGACATTAGTTATTTCTGGTCAGGATGCAGGGGTTTTTTTTTAATTATTTAAATAAGAACCGGGCGATATAGGTCACAGCAGTAATCCCCGACAGTTCCAATCCACCCATGGGAGTAATTACGGCCCCGATCCACGAGAGGTGGGAAGAACCACTGAACAAGCTCAGCAGACTCCAGTTGCGGGCCTGATATCGGCCACAAATCCATGTGGCCGAGCTAAATGGGCAGGAAGGCCGCAGGATAGTGGAGGCAAATGTAGGTCTGCTGCGACTCGAGCTGGGCCCATGAGTAGCCGGATGCGCTCTGGCTAGTTTTGGAGTACTTTACTTTCTACTATTATGGGGAAAAAGGCTAAACTGGTGGTTGCGCGACAAATAGAGGGGGAACCAATCGGTGAAAGCGTCCAAGTTGACCATGGCCCCGGGGGATCCCTCGAGTACCACCTCATTAATTGATTAAGAGCAAAATAAGATTCTCACTGGATCTGATTGGTGGTTCTGCAAGGTATTATTAACTGTTACTCTTTGCTTTAGGGATGATTATTACACCCTACACCAACTAAACGCCTCCCCAAGATAACTGGTTATCGGGGGATTCACTACTGCCACTGATAAGCACGACCAAGCCACCCTCTCCTCTCCCTCTCCTCTCTGCTTTAGGCTCCCGGCACTGCGTCTTACGATGGGCACGTTGTAACCCCTTCTGGATCCACTTGGATTTTATCAAAAGAAAATAATTACTGCTAGACCGTCCAGGAGAATTTTATCATTTGGTTGTACAAGGGCAAAAAGTGATGAAAAATGATGAAGCAGTGCTTTCATCATCTACTCCAAATTGACTGATGGCGCACAATGCAGTCATACAGCAGATACTGACGAGGAAATTCAGCCTGACCCGGGGAAATAATAATGGAATTGAAATCACCTCATCATCAGTGACGGAAGAAGGTAGCATTTTCATGATTTAAGGTTTCCACGCCACTAAGCTCGTTTATTTCCGAACCAATACCACTGTCTACTACCCAGTAGGTTAATCGTGTGATTCCAAAGCGACAAAGCAGAAGATGGGTATTATTTTCCTGCCATCATGGTTCATGGTTCACAACCATACTAATCCTGTGTATGAGCTGAGTTTCAGGGATGTGGTGATACCCAGTAGGACTGCTATCTGCTATCTATCGGGCTATCTTGGCTTCCTGCGGTCCATGGACCCCAGGGTTCCGTTCTGGGGTGGAGACCCGCCCCAAACAAATCCACCCTTATCTCCGGTGGTCATAGTAGTGTCACTTTGCACCTCACCTTATCTCTGCTTCTTCCCCAGCTAACCGTTTCGCTTCCTTACTTATCTTATTATCATGGCACCTTCCCACCCCCCCTGGTAGTGTCTCATCGGGGGCCAAAACCTCGTACATAATAATTCGTAGTCAATCTTTGCTTCTTTTCACTTTTTATTTCGATCTAATTGCGCTACTCTTCTCCTGAGTATCATATTTGTGCTTGGCATCCATGTACACTGCATGGAAGGTAGTAGTCTATCCTCTTAGCATCTCGTATTATCCCACAGTAGGAATCCGTCCGCTGCCGCCTATCATAATCCACGTGTCCCGCCTCTGCCCGAATTATGACAAGTTAGTCCTTACTAGTACTATCTAAGCTAACACGTAACCTACAGGGGAAATTATCTACACTACTACGAAGAACTCTCCTGCAACATATGCTTCGACTAAGATGTATTAGACCTCATAGGAACTACTCCAACCCCCTCTTCACCTGCTTCTAGTACAAAAAGGGGCCCTGCGAGAATTAAAAGAGCCCTCCAAAGTACTAGGAAGAAGCGTAACGGGCTGGCAGGCGCAGGCCAAAACTAAATCATCTCCGCACCCACAGAATTGACGCGGCCGGGGTTGGGACCAATCAGGCCGCGCATGCAGGGATGTTGATAAGCCCTCGCTGCGGTCGGTTCGATGAGTTCATTTTCTGCCTATCAAGACATTATCCACTCCCCCAGTAGCCTCCCTAGTAGTAGTCTACTCCGTCGTTGTCCGTCGCTACTCCCTACGTGATCAACAAGTGCAATATCCATTTAGAGCCACTATGTTATACAGCCGCGCTCAGGTACATCACTCCTGATGCCTGTGTCATGATGGCGCAAATTAAGAACAAGGTAACGAAATATACAGAGCCACTGACAGTGAGTGCAGTAAGTACTAGGGGATTCATCTCGCACACCTCTACGAAGCAAAGGTCACTACGGTAACTACCAGTTGTGCCACCTCTTGCCACCCTTTACCAACTTCTTTTTTTCTTTTTTCCACATCATGATACTGTGTATTCCTGTTCCTCAAGGATTCTGAAGGAACGTCCGGTTAGAGAATATGACTGGCTACCACCCCTTGCTTATTCCAAACCTGGCTGAATTCTGGAACGTCGTCCTGTCATTTGGCTTCGGTTCTCCTGATCGATCGGGCCTCTAAGCTTTTGCACTACACAACCACCACCCGCTCGTTCGCCCCGTCGCGTCCCTGCTAGGGTAGCAGGGGAGGAGGGACTGAACCCATGGAAGACCGATAGAAGCCAGTTGGAGTTTCTTTCGGCGCGATAGCCCGACGAGTCCTGCAAGGCTAAGCCCACGCCTCCTCCCTCGAGGAACGTTGAATCAGGATGTCCGAGTTGCTGCTTAGTCTAATACTCCCCTACGGAAGCCTTCAATCAGGATTCCAGTCCACTAATTAGTGGCAAGGTCGGATATCGCCGGCTCGTATAAGCCCCATCCGTGGTTCGTAGTCAGGTCTTCCTTTTACGCCAAGGGGTTTGTTTATTTGCCTCTTGCGGAGCATCTTTTGCCTTTTGTTCGTCGATTTTGCCTCTTGAGTGGGTGGTGCCATCCATTCCACACAGATAGAGAGAATCAATCTATGGCTCACTTCTTCACATGACATGTCAGACACCGATGGTAATATTGGGGATAGCTTCGGGCAAAGTACAGCCGTGTGTGCCATGTGGCCATGTGAAATGTGGTGCTACTGTGCTTCGAAGCTGCATGTGGTAGCCTGACGCCTGGGCCGCCGCTCCGTTTGAGCTATCGCTCTGGTTGCTGCGAATGCTCCGACATGCAGCCCTGCCATGGTAGTTTCATAACAGGGTGTGTTATACTGCGGAACTCCGTTCTCAGAGCTGAGAGCTGTTCAAGAGTGGGAAGGATACATGATCAACATGCCCATTGCAAGGCTAGGAAAAGCAAAAACCGCAGCACATCCTCAGAGTCAGCTGAAGAGACTCGAGAGGAGAAGAGTACAAAGTATCAACCAACATCATGCACATCAGCACCTGTAAAGAAGCGGAGAATCTCTAGCTAGCACGAACAATCTGTGCCTCCGCCCAGAAGTACTGTGTACTCACACACCGGCCCGGTGGTGCCAGTCCGAGCGAAAGATCTACAACGTTTTGTTTGGTCAAGCGACTTGCAGCTGCCAGCAAATGAAGCGCTGGGGTTGCCCAGCTGTGCGACCGGTCCGGTTACGTGCAGGAAGAGCTTACTGGAGACAGAGCCAGCTAGCTGGAATGGAGCCTAGCGCTGATACCGAGGTCAACGTTCGAATTACTGATCGAAGAATAGAATCAGGCTGTGCTAGCTCTAGACTAGGTCTATGCGCTTTACTCTGCTGTTTTGAAAATGCCCCTTACTGCATGGGCAACGAATCCAGCCAGATGTTGATGCAGTTTTTACTACCGTGTAGGCTGTTATCCAGGGGCATAATCACGCCGCATAACTATACGAATGCATCTAGAATCAACAAATGTTGGCATGAACATACATTTACAAAAGTCCCAGCTCAATACTAACCAAAGTACTCTCTCTCTCTTTTCTGTTCCCGACACAACTAGTAGTAAGACGTAGTAAGTATCCCGTCCCTCGGCAGAACCAAACAAGAAACCCAACCCCCGCAAACCACCCCCATCCATCTATCCGACACTAAACAAAAACCCCATAATTTACACCTCGCAAAAGCAAAAGCAAAAACGTTAAGAAAAGTAGTACCTACGTAACATCGATATCCACTCCCATAATCAAACCACGGCTCAAATCCATCTCGAATAAGTCCGACAACTTACTAACATACGTTGTTGTATGTAAGTAGTAAGTAAATTAAAGTTATATGAGGTGTATAAACTTCTCAGCTGACTTGACACCGCCCACTTTTATTAGTTTCTCATTTTTGCGGGGAAAGAATCTGTTACATAACAGATTCTTTTTCATTCCCGCTTCTGCAGTCTTACAACCCCGCAAAGACCTGCCATGTCCCATGTAAGATTATGTATGTACCCCGACTTTTATTTTTTCTGACAGCCTTGGGTCTTGGGTTGGGGAAAGTCTGGGGTAGACTATTTAGCTTGGTAGGTTGGGTTGATGCGACGTTGGCGGGTTTGATTTGGGATTGTGGTGTGTGGTTGTGTGGGGTTGGAGTCGGTTGGGGGTTTGGGTTTGGGTTTGGAGGGATACATTCTGGAAGTTAGTAAAGAGGGACTGAACTAGGTCGAGTATAATGCCTATTTAGGCACTACTATTCATTTCATCTAGTAGTGAATAGCTAATTAGGTGGCTGTTATTTGCTGTTTTGGTAGAGAAGTCACCGAGTACCGAGGCATATTTAGGTTTAGAGCTGTTCCCTGCCCTTCGGCAAATCGTCTACGTCACTACTGCTAGCCTTTTATGTGCAGTAGATAGTTGAATTAGCAAATGTAGTACAGACCTACCTCATATTGCATAGCCATTGCTATACAGCATTTTGATACGCTGTTGTTCTGAATAGGAAAGTTGTCGTGAGGGTGTATTCTATTGGAGATATCATGGATAGGAGTTTTACTTGTGCGCTTGTTCCTTACTGAAAGAGGCTCATTCTGTAGTAGAAGTAGTATGGGGTATGTGGCTTCTTTAGGTGGTAGTTTAGAACTTATGCGTACTAGTATGTGTTTTCTTTTCCATTGACCCCTGCACGATGATATATTTGGTGCCTGGACCAGACACTCCTGACCGGTACCTGCGTGAGGTTGCTTGCAGCATGGGCTATGTTGCATAGGGCTGTACCTGAGCATGTAGTCTCGGAGTGTAAGTAGGGTAATATGTGGCGGTATATGAATGATTATGAATGGAGGAATGCTTCTTCCACGTGATCTGTAATCCTGATCTTGTTAGGATGAGGAACAGTAGCAAGAGCTCGATTTCAGAGAGAATGTATGAAGGAAACTACTAGGTTATGTTGGAACAACTACATCAAGGTGCATCTGTAGATCTCAACACCTTACTAGCCAAAAGTCTCAGTGTCAGAAGTAAATTACATCATTACTACTGTCTATCTCAATCATGAGCGTTCATTCTATTACCATTTTGACATATCAAAGAAGAAGAATCGTGGATATCATGACCTAAGAGCTACCGACCGGTCCCTCACCACCGGGGATCAACTTAATAATAACTAGTGTCAGTCTGGAGCATAATCAGTAACACAGGGGTATGACTGCAGACATACCATGCAGACGTTGTTTCCGTTCAACAGAATCTTGGGGAGCTTCACTTGAGAGCCGGAGTAATCGCTATCGCATTTTTAGTAAGATTTCTTGCTTCACACATAGGATAATGGCTAAGAAAAGAAGAGCCCCAGAGATAGGAGATCTCCATCCAGATAGCAGATAAGATGACTTACAACTCAGTCACGTCCTCCAGGACCATGTCTGCAGCAGGTCAGTCCACGCACATCGTAAAACACGACAGGAGAAATACTTACTGACGTAGTCATCGAATCCAAGCAGCGTTCCGGCGAATTCTGAATGCATGTTAGCTATCTAGCCTATCGTCTGCCCCTCCCCCGCAGGGAGATGTTCATGCAGACCTTTGTCGTTCTTCATGATGACCCATATCCTGGATCCGACACACTTGTCGATCAATTCTGTCGCGCATGTTAATAAGCAGATCATCACAAGTACGCCATGTATACACGGCTTCTGACAGGGTCATTTACCAAGAGGAAGAAGTTGTGACGCCATTGCGGAATGATTAGGTTATTAAGCAGCTACTTTCAACTCAGCATATGCCCCTCCAAGACATGCAATCTATATCAATAGACAACTTACTGTTTTCCTTCTAGGTGGAAACAGGAGCCCCTTGCCTAGATCTAATATAGAAAATGAAGCGGGCGGACTGACGAACGGATGCTGGAATGATTCCATCCACACAATCTTGGCGGGCCCCGGTGGCAGAGTTTATCCGGCCCGGATGGCCTCCCCCAATCAGATCTACAATCCCGCTCCGCTTCATCGGGGTGATTTTCAGGTACGCCCTGTCGCTTTGTCGATTTCAAGGCTGCTGAAATCCAACATGATGTATTGATTGAGCAGATTGTTATGTTTTTATATTGGTATTATGGACTTCTTTCAGTCAGTGTGTTTTGCGTGACTTGTAAGACTTGACGCGTTTTATAAAGACCGGTGGCGGTGATAGAAGCCGGCGGCAAGCGTCACTTTTTTAGTTCTTTTGATCTGGTCTACTATGGCTCTCCGCGAAGCAGCTATGTCTTGGTATTTCTACCCCATTTCATGACTGAACAAATGCTCATTTTTATTCTAGCTCGGCCAATGGATATAAGTGCATACGCACTCTGCAAAACCAGGCTGCCATGACAGCCACTCGCTCAAGGTTGCTGCGCAGGTCGTGCGCCTTGTATCAGCATATGACGCTGAATGGCTCAATAAACAGGCCGTACTCTGCTCTGAATAGAAGTAGCTGCTCTCCACGTTCCAGCTCGAGCAAAAATGAGAAAGGCATTATACAGAGCCTACCTGGAACAAGGCATGTCTCTTCCAGGATCGACAGTCGGTCCTGCGAACTCAAACCCCGGCATTTACATGCCAGCGGCATGATACTTTACAATCAGACCTCTCCATATACAGGTCGCCAAAATGCCGTTTCTCATAGCCACAGACATATAACCTATCCATTTCCAGCACAAGAAAGATGCTATAGCTCGAATACAGTTCCGCGACCAATGATTGAGCATATAATCGACAGTAAAGACGTCGGAGAACTCCAGACACCAGAATCACCAGTATTACTAGCCAAGTCAGAAACACTGAGTGCAAACAACAATGACATAGACGAGACTGCCTCAGAAAACCACCCAGCAGGAGAATCAAAACCAGTCCTCACACCCGCCGAGGATCCCCCAACACTCAAGTTCTGGAGCCACACCATGCTCAAAAGCCCCGAAGGCAAAAACATCATCGTCCATTACTGCAAAACACTCAAAAGCAGCGAAGATGTCGCGCAACTCTTCCTGAACGACAAGATCCTCGGCTTCGACATGGAATGGAAAGCGCAGGCCTCCGCCTGGAACAGCATCCAAGACAACGTATCTCTAATCCAAGTCGCGAACAGAGAGCGAATTGCTCTCTTCCACGTCGCCCTCTTCAGACCAGGCAAAAAGCTCAGCGACCTCGTCCCTCCATCTCTCAAACAAATCATCGAGTCCCCGGACATCACGAAGCTCGGAGTATCAATCAAAGCAGACTGCACGCGTCTCCGCAAGTACCTTAAGATCGATGCGCACGGGATCTTCGAGCTTAGCCATCTCCATAAACTGGTCAAATACTGCCAGAGTAACCCGAAACTCATTAACAAGCGCCCTGTCAATCTCAGTGAGCAGGTGGAGGAGCACCTGGGGCTTCCGTTGGAGAAAGCGGAAGATGTGAGGTGCAGTGATTGGACGGTATCTTTGAGTTATCGTCAGGTGCAATGTAAGTTCTATTCGGCCGCCCCTGGTGCCGACACATGAATAATGAGTGTATGTGTAGATGCTGCATCTGATTCGTATGCTTGTATCTGCTTGTTCGATACTATGGATGCAAAGCGAAAGGCCCTCGACCCTCGACCACCTTTACCTGCTCATGCGGATTTGGATCTGCCTATTCGTATTGTGCAGGAGCCGACCGTGACGACGGTCCCGGATGATGTCGAAGTGGTTAAGCCTTAGTGGATTGCTTGAGACAGAGTGACGATACATTGGTTTCCACAGCATATGCATACTCCCGCGACGAAACAGGTTGGTTGCTACCTGGTTAAAGCATAGAGCGACTCGATATATACTCTGTGGTTGGAATAACCAGATTCCAGGGCCATAACCTCTGAAGATTGGATCTATATAGATCTCAGAGCTAGAACATGATATGATACCCATGCTAGAATCAATATATACAACAGTTTCATCAGAAACTAAATAGAAAGTCAAGTCATTTACAATCGAGACTGCCAAATAATTGCCTCTAGAATGAATGGGGTATAATTATAGACAAGAAAGCATGATACAGTCAGTCATGTATATAAACAGCGCTGTAAAGTCATAAAACCATCAAAATCATCCTCTCAAGGGCAGCACTTTCGACAAGAGCACCTCCTGTCGACAAAGCGGGCACTCCGGCTTCTCCCGTACCCAGTCCCGCACACACGTCCAACAAAAGACATGTCCACAGGTCGTGACACTCGGATCTTTGAACAACTCCAGACAGAGCGTACATTTGCGCTGCTGTCCTTCAGGGATCCAGGGGATCGCATGGGAGTCTTCTGAGAAATCGTACCGGGCAGCAGAAGCCGGAAGGAGAGGAAGCGAGGAGGGGTTTTCGAGAGACGGTATCAGGGAACTTCCATACAGTTTCATGCCACCCTCTGCTTCAAGTCCACTATCTTCATTCCCCTGTTCTAGGTCGGTCCCAACCTTCTTGATATGCAGGATGCCTTGTACAGCGATCTGCAAGACAAGCAGCACACCCAGGACCTCATAACCAACCCGTTGTTCACCCTCCTCTACCTTCTTCGTGAAGACATACCGCAGGCCCGAGAACCGCTTTGAGAGATGATAGTAAGCGCCCGTGAAATAGAACGTTGCGATGCTAACGGCGTATATGGGTGACAGCGACGTGATGGAGTCCAGATGCTCGAGGATGTATTTTTGGATCCGGAGTTTCGTGAAAAAAGATGGTTTCTTAGACGACTTGTTGTCCTTGGCTTGCTCTACTGCTGTTTTCTTGGCTTGAGATGCTTTGAATTGTTGTCGAGCGATACTGCGTTCCAGCTTCGATCGCAGTCGTTGTCGGAAAGCGGGGAGAATACGCTGCAGCGTCCAGGGCAGCAGAATACTGCTGAGGATATACCCAGCTCGCCTTGGGAGAGAAGGAAGTTGGAGGGTGTCATCTTCTAGTTGGACCAGGTCGCAGTATTCTTCTCCTAGGGTTCGGTTTCCGATGAAGGTGGTCAAGGCAAAGTAGAGGATCTCGGTTAGGTGTTTGATGGCATCGGAGTGGGTGTGTGCATAGCGAGCTCCGCGGAGAGAGCGAACAATTGAATGGGCTTGGCTTGTCAAGCTCCCTGTCATGAAAACATCCTTTTCATGCGACCGAATGATGTCTGGGGAGGTAGCGAAAGGGTAGAAATGGGCCGAGGGAGAGACGGACGGTGTCGGAGCGGAGGTAGTTAGGGAGAGATCTTTGTCGGCCATTGTGAGGGAAGTGGGAGAGTGGGAGAGGTGATGAGTGAGGGAAGAAATGCGGAGTCAATATAAGAGAGAGCTATTCCCTCGCTGAGGCAGCTATCATGGCAGGAAGAAATGAAGAAAGAGAGGGAGAGATAAGGCGCGTGGGATTGTATAGCAGCGCCGGCATGCAACAGCGGATCCCCGAAAGGCGGAGGAGCAACACCAGTGCCTCGGTAATACTCACGTGATGCTCTAGACAACCGCAACGTGACCCCTATCACATGACCTTACTCACGTGCTAAGGGTCAAGTCCCAAAGAGGCCAGGCTAGACCCAAAGCGGGACCAGTGCGCGTCGTTACAAGCCGGAAAGCCGCGCGGAGCCGCTGGGCCCCGTCCAAAGTGGAAAGCCGACCTGAAACCGGCGGTCCCTGAGCTTCTTCACTTCCCGCTGCTTAAACTGCTTCGCTGGTCATGATTTGAGTGCCCTTTGTGGTTGTTAAACCTCACCCCGAGTCGCTCCTTGATCTCCCCCCTTCGCCTGATCAGTCACTGTCGCTACATACTCTTCACTACTGGCTCCGTGCCTCGAGCCTCCCTCGAGTCACTTCCGAATCTCCTTCTCGGTCTCCCTCTGGTGCTGAATTCCCGGCGCCGCCGTCTCTTCAATGGAATATGGGTGTCGATCAACATGCTCAATTGGATCGCTTCAGTCTCTTCCTCCCCTTCCCCTATCGCGTGGCGGTGATACTGCTGGCTGGTATGCTACCCCCTTGGATGATCGCCCCCCTCCTCTAACTAATCCCCGGCATTTCATTTGGCTGACATTTCGTTATCGATAGGTTTCTGGGGTTGGGGTGCTAATCTGCAGTACCTCCTAAAGGCCAATATTGTGGGTGATGCCCCTCCCTCTCCCTCTCCATTCTCCTTCCCTCCACTTCTCTTGTCTATATAGTTATATACATTCGCTGACTGGCTTCTTGTTAGGATGTCCCTGCCCTCATTAAATACCCTGCCCGACAATCCTCCAGTCAACGCCCGCATTATGCCTCGACATACCAGCTGGCCACTCTCCTGACCATCCCGCTCGTCGTCTCCCTCCTTATCTTCTGGCCCGCCACCCATGGCTCCGCAGAACGCGTCGAAGCGGTGGAATTCATTCCGCAGTCATATTTCTTCATAGGACTGTTTATTCTCGTCCTGCCCTTCTACCGGATCGCGCGCTCGGGCCGATATCGGTTCTTCATGACCCTGAAGCGCATCAGTCTTGGAGGTCTGGCGGAAGCACAAGATGGCAAATTCGGGGATATTCTGCTGGCAGATGCTCTGACAAGCTATTCTAGAGTCCTCGCGGACTTGGTTGTTACCTTCTGCATGTTCTTTACCACGGACGTCTCCAGCACGTCCAAACCCACCCGCAAGTGTCGCACGAACGATTACGTCGTTCCCTTGATCATCGCTTTTCCCAGTATCATTCGACTTCGCCAATGTCTCATCGAATACTTGCGTGTTCGTCGGGCTACCCAGCGTAGTCAAGTTGCGGGCAGCCAGGGTGGCCAGCACTTGGCTAACGCCCTGAAGTACGCCACCGCGTTTCCGGTGATCATTCTGGCAGCCAAGTTGAAGAACTACAACCCTCTAGACTTTTACGGCTACAGTGAGATGAGCCTTTCACGGCTCTTGTACGTGCTCGACTTCTCTTTCCTGCCTTCTGCAAATAGCCCTGTCTAACCGCGCTCCCTCTGTTACAGGTTTTTCTTTACATTCATCAACTCCGCATACTCCTTCTACTGGGATATCACCAAGGATTGGGATTTGACCCTTTTCTCTTCGGCACGCCACAGCCACGAACACCCATACGGACTGCGCCGCCATCGCTACTTCGCCAACCGACAATACTACCTCGCGATCATCATTGATCTGGCCATCCGTTTCTCCTGGCTCTCTAGATACGTGCCCGGATTTGTTTGGATGAGCGAGACCGAGTTTGGAATTTTCGTACTCATGTTCTCCGAGGTTGCCCGTCGTTGGATGTGGGTTTTCCTCCGCGTCGAGGCCGAGTGGAGTAAGTCACCCATCCATCACACAAGCACGTTACCGTGGCACCTTCAACTGACTCGTGGCACCCAACAACAGTCCGAAACAGCCGCGGTCCTGCCCCCGACGATATTCTCCTTGGCGAGTTCGGCGGCAAATTGGACGCAGACTGAACTTATACAACCTTGCCGCATCTTTCTAGACAAAGCTTCTCGCCCATTCCTCTATAAACTGACATGATTTTTGTGTATCCAACATTGTAGCCAGCATTCATCGTTATTGTGTTTACGTATGTAAGAACATTTTTCTTCCTTCTGCCTCTTTTTCCTGCCTTTCTCCCTCTTCCTGGCTTGGATTGGTGCATTTAGAGCCCATCCGGCCCGTTCACTTCTTCAAACTTGATTTGACTTGGATTGGCTTGGTTCCGTTCCTCTTACTATACACTTGTCTGTTCTATACACACACACACACACACCTATATTTACCTTCTTCTTTTCCTTTTCACTTTTTTTCATTTTTCTACTGGGAGGCGGAGAGGCGTCTGTATCATATTATATTGGGCAGGAAACAAAGGGAAAGGGAGTGTTGCGGAGCAGTTCATGTTGTTGTTTCGTATACGTTAAAACGTATAGTATAAATCCTCAGTCTGTTTTATTTCTTATTTCTTTATTTCTTTATCTCTCCTACCTTTTACCATCCTCTTCGGGTTCTTTTCATTTTCTTTCGTTGTAATAACTTTCTCTTTTATTATTTATTGGGGTACCTACCTAGTACCACTCATTTTGGTACTGTTCGGGGGTTAAGGAAAGACTGCGGGTTGGTCATAGTGCTGGATGGTATGATAATCGAGGCTGTCATGGACAGTGCACTCGCTTAATAGGTAATATTAATGGTGATTATTATTAAGACGCTTGCTTTTGTTTCACTAATGGAGGTAGTTACAGTATAGCAGGGACGCCAAATTGAAGAGAGGAATAATGAATGCTAAATAATGATAGAAAGGGCAAATAGATAAATGCTCGTTGATCGTGAAAGGGGCTTAGCTGACATGATAGAAATGATAGAATAAAATATACAATACAGTAATAAACATATAAGCAGGAAAAGAAGTTAATGATAAGAGATCTGTATGACGGAACATAATGCGAAATATACAACACGGCAAAGGAGATAATTGAGAGAAAAGAAAAATGAAAAACCGTCGCTCGTACAACAGCATAGATAGGTCATATCAGTGTCTGTTCTGAGGCGTACTGTGGTTATCGAACAAATCTTCCAGGTATGCGCTTGGTGTGCGACCCTGAGGAGGAGAGGACAGATTCACGCTGCTGGTAGAGGGGTCTTCTGCGCGGGACCGTCTGGCACTACGACGGGGCGTCGTGTCCTGTTCGTTGGCTGCTGGGGATAGGCCTGGTGATTCAGGAGGGCTAGGGGCTGTTTTGGCCCTCGTATAACCCTGCGACTGTGGTCCCATGCCTGGGAGATCAGCCGCCGAGAAGCGTGCTTCGTGAGTCCGAGGAGGCGCTGCACTGCCGGTGTTGTAGTAGCCTGCAGGGAGATAGGCAGACCGCCTGTTACTGCTGCTGGGATGCATTCCGGCGGTGGGCGAAAAGAACAGCGCGCTGTTGGAGCTGGGGGTCTTTGTGGAAGGTGACCTATGGTGTCGGTGGCTGTGACGGTGGTGATGATGCCCTCCACCACCCAGCTTCTCGAGGGTGACACCTGGTCCGGAACTTGATCTTCTGGAGCGAGATCTTCGCTTCTTGGTGCGAAGCAGTCCTTTGGTTTCGGATGACCGAACCATGGCGGCTTGACGAACGGAACGGTTGACTGACCAGGCTACGAGGGCGCGCCAGGCCAGAATAGCAAATCCAATGGCACCAAGGACAGCCCCGACAACGATGAACAGAGTCCCCTCGGGGATCTTCGACTTCTGCATGTACGGTGCATCGGCTGTGGGGGGAACAGTGACGATGGGGTAGCCACTGGTTGAGGAAGAGGAAGAAGAAGAGCTTGAGTCAGTTGACGTGGACGAAGCATCTGTCGTTGAGCTAGACGATGAGTCCGTCGTGGTTGAAGCTGAGGTGGTAGTACTGTCATCTGACGAGGTTGTCGCAGAGTCCGTAGATGAAGATGTGTCCGCCGTTGTGGTGGCAGTGGTCGTAGAGTCGTCTGTGGTAGAATCCTGAGCGACTGAAACTTGCGCGACAAAGACAATGATAAACAATAGAAGGAGTATGAATGAAGGCTGGCGGGCCCTTGAGAGGCCCACCGACAGGGCTACCATGGTTGATATAGACTCCTGGGTATCTAAGTATCAGATCGAGGGGTAACGAGAGTTCGTAGAACCAGCAATGACCGGTGCAATTAGAGTTAAGGCAAGAGATACAAGTTCATAGTCAAGAGGGATCCGAAATCGTCAGCAAAACAAGAACTGAATCGGATGTCTCTGGTCGTAGATTGATTGCATGAATAGCGGGTGTCTCCAGGCAGGCGGGCGGGACTTAATATCGGTCTCCACCCAAAACAAGAGGGTCAACAAGCGATGGATGCAAGGGTAAGACGGTGATCACCGAGGTAGGGCAGACAGCCAAACGAGGGACTACAGCGATAGCCGCTGTGCGGTTAATCCGTGTCTTGAGGACCCCCCAAAGCGAGCGATGGGCATTTAGAGAGTGAGCAAAGACGAGGTCTTTGACAGCCAAGCGGTGGTTGCCCCGTGCCATCCTCGGCCGGCCTGAGGCTTCCACACTATGGCCCACGTGATACCCAAGTTATTCTTAGCGGCGAGGTAAGTTCAGGCTATTGGGCCATTCCCTTAATTATTAACTCTAATGTGAGACATTCTAGGATTCGTCATCAATCATGTTCGATGGTTAACTAGATATCTACCTCGACTTCCAAACGATACCTAGTGGGGTGCCACTTTCACTCGTACAATATGATAGATTCCACAAATAAGCAAACGCCGCTTCGCTGATATACAGCCTATTCATAATATAGCAAATTATGCAAAGAAGAAGCAAGACTAATGACACGAATCTGGAAGAACAACCGCTAATCACTGCTGCTTCTTCTGCACAGCGGCCGATGTGTCCTTCTCGAATGCTGCATAGGGAACCTCCAAGCTCAAAAGAGCAGACAGTCCGACATAGAAGATCATCAGGAACACCAGGGTCGCGAGAATTCCCATCCAAATGCCTGTTAACGGTCAGATTATGTCTTGCGGTGGCTTGATTTCGGTCTACATACCGGGTGTAAAGAACTGGTATTCCTGGAAAAGAGTCTTGTTGGACGAAGATTGACTGTCATGAGCAGAGTAGTCGCGCTTGAGGTCCATGTGAAGGGGATCCTGTTCCGCTTGGTAGAAATCGGAACCGGTGTCTTCGAGTTCCCTCGGGGAAGTGACGTAAAGGATCGTGTAGCCCTTGGACTCCGGGAGCCGGTCAATGACATTGAAGAGCAAGCCATCTACAAAAACAATAAGCATCTCTCCGGGAGTAGTATAGACGTTTGGGCCACTAACCGTTGTTCGAAAGCTGCTTCTTCCGATCATGTCCCGCAGGCAGGACAGGCAAGTCAACAACGATGATGCGGGACTCCGCATCGAAGTCGGTAGAGTGAGAATCAGCTATAATCATTTGCTGTCAGTCATGTCCTTCATCTATCGACCACTCATATACAAGTGAGCACCTACAGGAAGCGTCGATCACGGTCGATTCAGCCCCGCACTCCTTCTCGAGCAGCTTCTGGACATCCTTCGCCTCTATCTCGCCCACAACTTCATTCACAATCGTCTTTGTCCGGATGTTCTTGTCCTTCCCCGTCATCTTCCCACCGAGGCGCGGTGCGGACTGGCGAGTAGCGAAGTCGGTGCTGTGCACACCGGGCTGAGACGCAATAACATAGTAGTCGGAAGGGCAGCCACTCAGCCCCGTAGACAGATCTTCTAAGATAGCGGGAGCAGTCCGCAGCTGTGCCGACGTAGAAGGGATCCTGTAGTAGCTAGTTAGCTGGACACTCTAAGGAAGTCCCGCAATCGAGCAAGTGTCACGCATACTGGGAGGTCGATGCAAGGAAAAAGGGAGAGGTGTCGCGGATTGCGTTCGCCGTCGTCGCTCCCAGAGCGAGCAGCGAAAAGGTTCCCAAACGCATGGTGGTGTAATAGGGGGGTAGCTATCAGATGAGCGGACGGCTATCTAGAGAACCTCCGGGAGGAATGAATGATGATGTTGGAGCCAGGCTGGTGGATTGGCCGACGACGGCTCGGAGGCGGTCGAGCCAACCACCGGCACGGCTTAGCTCGACTTGTCCCCGGCCGTGACGTTCTGGCAATGCGGCCGTTTTGGAAATTTTTCCTGAACTAAAAATCCCCGCCTCAGAGAACAACATCACTTCGTCCATAATTATAGGCAATTTATTCTAATTGTCTCATATATAAAATCATGGGGCCAGCAGCAAAAAGGAGAAAGGTGGCCAGCAAAGTCGAAGAAGTTACCTTCGACGCTGCCGATCGCCAGCAGTTTCTCACAGGCTTTCGCAAGCGCAAACAACAACGCATTAAACATGCACAAGAGGTGGCCGAGCAGAAGGCCCGTGAATTGAAGCGTGAGGAGCGCAAAAGGGTACGTCTATTCGCCGGTGATCAGTTTGCTTAATTGCACCGGAACTAATTTTGCTTGCAATTTAGATTCGCGAAGAACGAACCGCAGACTTCCAGCGCGCTATCGAGGAACATAAAAAACAACTCAAGAGACTGAAGGAGGAGGACAGTGAGGAGGACAACTCGAGTTCGGGAAGTGGTGATGAAGACGACCAGGAATGGGAAGGGTTCGAAGAACCCCCAGCCGTGGATTATGAGGCTGAATACATAGACGAAGACAAGTACACGACGGTGACGGTGGAAGAAATGGATCCTTCCAGAGAAGGCCTACTGCGATCGGCAGGCAATGAATCGGACGACGATGAAGAGGAGACGGAGACGAAACCTGCACCGGACACCAAATCAAACCCGGCAGGCGAGAAGACGAAAAAGAAGACCGATAACAAACCGAAAAAGAAGAAGAAGAAGTTCCGCTACGAGTCTAAAGAGGAACGCAAGCTTACGAGGGTGAAGGAGCGCGCGGCGAAATCGAGGAAAGCCCAGGCTCGACGAGACCGCTCATAATATCCAATCCTATACAACACAGCACAGCACATTTATGAACCAGCATTCGGTTGAGAATACAGAAGCCAGAAGGGGGGCGCTCCCAATTAAATATGCTCTATGTACCTTCACAATGACTAATATGGTAAACAATAAAAGGTTAAACAAGGTCACGGGGACGAGCGGAGAGACCGGTTGATGATGCGGATGAAGCCAGCTAGATGACACGACGAAAAAAAGATACAGCTAAAATCCGTCTCCCTGCAGACAGGACATATAGATCAGACTGTGATGTGCAGGAAAAGAAAGCAAAGGTAAAAGTATATTTGGGGAAAAGGCTGAAATCCAGCATCTTCCGGGCCTCGGCGCCATCTCCTTTTTAAACATTGCTGATGGAGACCTCGAGGTCGTGCAGATCCTTCTGCAACTCGGCGTATTTCTTCGCCATCTCCTCGTACTTGCTCTCCCACTGGTCACGGGACGCTTCGAGAGCCTGCACCTTGCGTTCGTAGTGGCCAGCCTTGACGTCGGTTTGGCGGAGCCTAGAGCACGAGCGTAGTCAGTATATGTGTTGCTCCGTTGCGGACTCGTAAGAAAGGAGGTGCGGGGAGGGGGCGGAAATGGAAAATAGACGTACTTCTCGTTGGTCTCCCGGAGGTTCCGGTCAGCGTCCTCGGCCTCTTCTTCCAGAAGTTGCAGACGGCGCTGGAGAGCCTCGTTCTGAGTATCGTGCTGAGCACTCTGGTTGGCAGAATCCTTGGCCTCCTTAAGAGCGGTCTCGAGCTTCTCGACCTCACCCTCCAGAAGCTGGTTCCGGTGGTTGAGGGATGTGATCTCCTGCTCCTTGGCGAGGTTCTCCTGCTCCAGCGTCTTGACCTTGCTCTTAAGCTCCTCAACCTTCTCCTGGGCCTCCTCGGCCTCGAGGCGGAGGTTGTTCATTCTCTAGAATCATGGGGGTCAGCTTTCGGATATTTCCAGTTTATTTACACATTTCTGTTTGTGGTAATGAGGATAGATGGATCACCATGAGTGATGCGGTGGGAGAAATAAGGATGCATGTGGTGGTGCATGTTGCAGTTCCAGGCAGCTTAGAAGCTACCCCGCCAACAGGGGGAGGGGAAGGGAAAGGAATCTCACCTCCTTGATCTTATCCATGTTGGGCAGTTATTTGCAGTGAAGGAACGGGGAATATGTATGGTAGAAAGTAGATGGTTTCGATGAGTTGGGGATGCGGGACGGCTTTCGCTCAGCGATAAACCAGACAGAGATGCAGTAGGGAAGCAAGTAGTCAAAAGGACAAATGGGTTTTGGGTTTAGGGAGAAAGGAAGAGAAGTGGAGGAGGGCCTTTCAGGTAAGGTTGACTTTCTTGCCTGGCCTGGCGGTCAGCCGCGACTAGTGGTTGGGCCCGATCCATTTTTGGTATGGTAGGGGATGCCATCGCCCCCCCTGGACGGGCAGTGCCACAATTGCTGTGGCTGATACTTTACCGTCCCGGTGTTACGGAATACACTCAGTTGTATTGTCTCCACGGGCAACCGCCACGAAAACATCTCGGTTGCGTGACGCTGCATCTAGAACCATGTCGACAAGCTCCGCTCTCCTTCCTTCAGTGCTGACGCGCCGCTTCCAGCACCTTTAGCTCCGACCTCCAGTATAACCTACGCCAATCGATCTTCGCTCGTTGAATGAGCCGTGTGAATACATAACTGCCACCATGTTGGCTGTACGCGACCAAGAAAACCTGGTCCACTCTCACCAGACCGTTGCCGCGTCGAAACCACTCAATCAAGGCGTGAGACATTTGCAACCCAAGACCCCCGGCGCTCGAGTACCAAAAACGCCATTCAAAGTCCCTTTGAAAAATGACGAGAACGATCCGCTGGCTTTTGGGAAGAAAACCGTGAAGGGGGGTAAACAGAAGGAGAATATCAACTTGACCACGAAAAATGCCTTTATCACTCCGGCGGGTACGTAATGGAAGTCTACGACCATGTTCGAGTCGCATGACTTGATCCTTGCTATTCGCTATTCATGAGACTAACACACTTTGCAGCAGATCCTCGTCAGCGTGCCCCTCTTGGCATGAAGACGACAAATGCCAAAGCCAGGGGATTGCAGACGCCAGCACCTGGAGGGACGGTGAAGCCTGACAGAACCATCAAAAGAGGTTCTACGCAGAGGGCGAAGAAATTTGCTCCCTTTGTAGAGCCAAGTCAGCCAGAGGTTCAGGCGAAACCGGTAGAAGATGATGTCCCTGACATTGAATATATGCCCCCTAAGCCCAAAGGTCAGTAGTCCTTTCGCGGGGTTTTCGCATGTATCAAGGGGTTCGTTGTGTCTGATTTATCGCAGATCTTCCTGATATCCCGGACGATGTCACTTATGATACGACCTTTCCGCAATTCCAGCCGAAAAATCTCGCCCTAGGACTGGAAAGTGTGTATGGTGATAATGAGGTTGGCCCCGATGGGCTCACTAAGCGCGAGCGCAAATTCCAAGAAGATTCAGCTGCTTGCGACAGAATGGTTGAGGAAATGATTCGAAAGCAAGTCGAGAGCATTGGCTTCGAGGAAACATACGAGACCGTTCCAATTGAGGAGCCGCCTGCAGCAGACGCCACACAACGCCGAATTCAAACGCGTTCACGAACGAGAGCGGCCAACAACAAGACCAAACATACCAACAACATCTCCACCATCCGAGCTCGTGATGCTGCTGCTGCCTTGTCCGGAACACAGCGTTCTGTTCCACGCACCAGACCGGCTGTTTCGGCCAAGCCTAGGGTTACTTCTGCCTTGTTCCCGTCTAAGAAACCAAGAGAACCGACCAATCCATCGAGTATGCGTCAAACGGCCGCTGCTGCAACTTCCCAAACGACGGTGGGATATAGTAGGGGCCGGGAAGTGTCGACCAAGTTACATGGCAGGACGGCCAGTCCAACAGAGCTGGAGACAGTCCCCCAAGGAATCCTTTCACCCGACACCTATCTGCAGCCCTGTGGAACTCCACCATTGATCGCCGACACGATTGGGCTAGACTTGGAGAATGCGGAGGGGCTTCCGACATTTGATGAAGATGAAGAAGCTCAGAACTTTCAATTAACGCTGTGACATGAGATGTGTGAAGAACTAAGGCGAATACAGAGGTCTACATCCGGCGTATCATATGGGATTTTATGGGTTCATGTTATTGGTAGTTGAGTGGTGTTCTTTGGTTTCCCGGTCTACTTTTATGTGTCTTCCATGTTTCGTTGCACTCGCCAACGTGTAAGTATTTTTTTCCTGACTGGCAAGAACAGTCATGGAAAAAGAAACCTCACGGAGCCAGAGAGATGGAGCACGGGACTTGAAAGGGGGGGCGTTCTAGAAAGTTATGATGTATCTATCTACGATGGGGGTTACAGTGTTATCCTGTTATGACTTGACGAGTCCCACGGAAGACCCCGGCGTGGGGCTAGTCCCTATTTGAGCATGAAATTGGGCTGTATGATTAATAGCCAGAATATTCGTAATGGACCCTCCTGTAGTGGGTGTTGCCGGCCCTCAAACAGTGGTTCCCTCCCAGGCTAACCGTTTGATGGCTCAATTGATTAAGCTGGTTTAAGGGGCAACTTGACTTGCAACGCCCATGACTAAGCCCACTGGACCAAGCAAAAGGGGCCACGCACCGCAGTTGGGTTTCAGACCCGAGGAAAAGACCAAATGCCAACCTTGGATGGGGAAGTTGAGATCGGTTATAAAGATAGTAACTGGTTAGGAGGTGTCCTGGTCCCCGACCGCGGAACGTGAGAAGGTTGTACCTGTTCTAGGTTGTTTTGCAATCAGCCAAATAAAGGACCTTCGGTTTCAAGGAGTGCTTTTGGCACTTAACACAATAAAGAGAGAAAAGAGAGAGAGAGCCCCAATATAACTACTCAACTACTAATCGATACTACTAACTAATCTATGCGACGCTCACCGCTTGTCTTCCCGGGCGAGACCCATTTGGACTGGACCACTTCGTCTAGAATCCTTGGAAACTTGTCCAAGCAATCAACACTTCTTCTCCCCAGCCTTACAGCAAAAGCTGCAGCTGCTGCAGGAGTGTTCATGTAGTCGTAGTTCAGTTACTTTTCCATCAGGTTATCACCCAGATAAATCTAACGAATGCCTGTTCAAACCTCCAGGCTGTAGCATCACTCGTTAAAATTAGTAGACCAATTACAGAACGAGAGAGGAGGAAGTTCTCATGTTCTTTGCTTAGGCGCAGTCTTCCGAACCCTGGCGGTTGATCAGTTGCTCAAGCAATAATCCACTCGCTCCCGCCTCACAAGCAATCCTGTTCTTCCCTCTTTTCTCCAATTCCCTCTCCTCTTCCCCTTCTCTTTCTCCTCCCACCTCTCCTCCTCTCTCTCCCTCCCCCTCCCCCTCCCCCTCCCCCTCTCCCTCTCGACAATTCGTCTCCTCCGCCATGACGAATATCCATCCTGAGTCCCCAGAGGACTTCGAGTTCATTGAAACTCCACCCGCCTCCTGCACTACTCCCGCCGACGATTGCGGTGTGCGGACTACCTCGGTGAGTTAGTTGTAGCACTTGAACAGCTCCTGAAGAGCTCCTCCAGGGTTCTTGACACCTATTTTTCTGAACAGGAATGGGTCAATTCTATTCGCAATATCAGGAAGCTAATCTTCTCCTGTTTTTGCTAGTATCCGGCCATCAAAAATGCCCCCGTCCCCGCGGATTCTCAGGGTAGCGATAGCTTCTCCAACACCCTCCTCTTCGCTCTCCTCATCCTTGTCCCATGGTATCTCGCCCGCCAGATCGGTGGTGGTTTCTACACCACCATCTTCTTCGCCATCTTCACCACCGTCCCCATTCTGATGGGCTTCTGGTCCATCGCCTCTTCCATCTCTCCCCGCAAGAACGAAAAGGCCAAGTATGCTGGTCGCCCCGTCGAGTACTACCTGAACTTCCACAGCGAGCATGATCGTACTGCCTACCGTGGCAAGAGCAAGATTCCCATGGAGGTCTTCTACGAGAAGTACTTCAATGGCGAGGTGGACTTCAAGTGTGATGCCCTGGAGGCTCTGGAGTTCAGACACGACTGGGCCAACTTCCGCTTCACCATGGGTCTCTACAAGCACTTCCTCTTCGGTTTCATCCCCGAGATGCTGATGCACACCCGCTCCCAAGGTACGTGTTTAATTTACTACATTTGGCACGGTGGTGGGGGTGTCGTGCTGACTTGAGCGACTTTGGTTAGATGAGGAGCAGGTTCGTGACCACTACGACCGCGGTGACGACTTCTACGCTTGGTTCTTGGGCCCCCGTATGATCTACACTTCCGGTATCATCAGCGACCCCAACAAGGAAGAGACTTTGGAGGAACTGCAGGACAACAAGCTGGCTGTGGTTTGCGAAAAGATCGGCGTCAAGCCCGGTGACACTGTCCTTGATCTCGGTTGTGGCTGGGGTACTCTGGCCAAGTATGCTTCGGTTCACTATGGCGCTCAGGTCACTGGTATCACCTTGGGTCGCAACCAGACCGCTTGGGGTAACAAGGGTCTCCGCAATGCCGGTGTGGATGAGTCTCAGAGCCGTATCCTGTGCCTTGACTACCGTGACGCTCCTCGGGTTGATGGCGGTTACAAGAAGATCACTTGCCTTGAGATGGCCGAGCACGTCGGTGTCCGTCACTTCACTTCCTTCCTCTCTCAGGTCTACGACATGCTGGACGATGATGGTGTCTTCTTCCTGCAGATCGCTGGTCTGCGGAAGTCTTGGCAGTACGAGGATCTCATCTGGGGTCTTTTCATGAACAAATACATCTTCCCTGGCGCTGACGCTAGCACTCCCCTTGGCTTTGTCGTTGACAGACTGGAGGCTGCTGGATTCGAAATCAAGGCCATTGACACTATTGGTGTTCACTACTCTGCTACCTTGTGGCGCTGGTACCGGAACTGGATGGGCAACCGTGACAAGGTTGAGGCCAAGTACGGCAAGAGATGGTTCAGAGTGAGTTCTCCCACCCCCGTTCAGTGTATACGACAAAACGATACTAACGTATGACTACTTCCAGATCTGGGAATACTTCTTGGCTTACTCCACCATCACCTCCCGCCAGGGTGGTGCTACCTGCTGGCAGCTTACCATCGTTAAGAACATCAACTCCACCCACCGTGTTGAGGGTATCCCCAGCCAGTATGGTCTCAGCGGTGCCCGTGAGGCCGCCATCACCCGTGCCGGCACCGGTGCTGTCCCCAAGGCTCACGTTCCTAACAAGGCTTAAATGTACCCTTACGGCAATATGCCGGTCGAATAGGCGTCATGACATAGCCGACAGCCTCTAGCACTGATTTACCGTCCATCTAGAAGGCTGTTGCACTTTCTAAAACATCGATTCCAATGAACGAACTGGAAAATCTGGACAGGAAGTGAACAGAGGATGACAACGATGTCTCAATTTTTACCTATCTAAGGTATGCCTGAATGAGAGGAGTGGGATTTCTTTTCTCATATGGAAATGGAAATGAACGACACATTACTTTTATGTACAATGTTTCTGACCTATATACTACTTCTTTCCTCTTTCCAGGGGAGGACTGTATGTAATCAATAGCATCCAGAATGAAATCATGTAATAACGAAAAATACCTAGTAGTGGGTGTGTAGCATCTACTATGATGGTTAGTCGATTCGTGGGCGGAACATCCTTTATGCGGAGGAGTGACAGGGGAGGTGCCTCCTTTAAATTGCGCAACACAGACGCAAGTTACTAAAGAAACCGACAAGAGCGAAAACATCGATTTTCCATTATGGAGGATCTTGTCCCACTTGCTTGCGCTCCCGCAAGGAACCGCCCCTTTGATGCGCAAAATGACTGCTCTGAAACCCCGGTCCGCTTCAACTGCCAGGCCTGTGTGCGCAAGAAGATCAAGTGCAACCGCGCGGTGCCCAAATGTGCCAGCTGCATCAAGACAAAGCTCGAATGTGTTTATCTGCCACGGCAGCCCCGGCGCAAGAGGAAACATAGTCGGGGCGACAAAGATGCACAGGAACGCCTGGAACGTTACGAGCGCATTTTGCACGACCACAATCTCCTCCCAACAGCCCCTCCCTCGACCACCAGCGGCAGAGACTCGGAGACATCAGTGAACAGCATACAGGCTCCGACTCCAGGGCCAGCGAACTCACAGACTGGCGCCACACCGGATAAAGTGCGTCCAACTGTTGGTAATTCTCGCTATATTGACAATCTTCTGCTCCTTGACGCTGGAGAGGGTGATTTATGTGAATTGCCTGAGTCTGAACAAGAACACCATTACGAAGACACGCCTGGGCCCGACAAAGGCTCTCCGATCAGCCTTCTCGGTGCCCTCGCCGCGCATTCAATTTCGGACGCAATGCTCGGGAGCACGATAGGCCTCGCTGACCTTCACCCAAGCCATGAGCATGCGACCAAGCTCTGGCATGCCTACGTGGAGAACGTCGAGCCTCTATGCAAGGTCCTTCATGTTCCGACGGTTGCTATGATGGTCAACACTGTCTCCAAGCACCCGGCGACCGCCTCCAAGAACGATGAATGCGTGCTTTTTGTCATCTATTATTTCGCCGTATTCTCAATGTCGGACGACGAGTGTTCACGTGAATTCGATAATACAAGAACCTACTTGATGTCTAAATACCGGACTGCATTCATCCAGGCATTAGTGAATGCGTCTTGGCTCAAAACAACCGCGATGCCGGTTTTACAGGCTTACACACTCTTTCTTATTGCCCTGCGTACCCAGATCGAGTCCCATACATTCTGGATCCTGACTGGGATTGCAATTCGTCTAGCCCAACGAATAGGACTCCACCAGGATGGAGAAAGCCTCGGACTGCCCCCGTTTGAGGTCCAGATGCGCCGGCGGCTCTTTTGGCAACTGCTACCCCTGGACAGCTACGCGGGTCAAACATCCGGCACGGGTATATCCCTCCCACCTGACAGCTGGGATACTAAACAACCGTTGAACATTAACGACGACCAGATCTTCCCTGGCATGACCGAGCCGCCTCGCGACCAACGAGGGGCGTCGGAGATGATTTTTTGCTTGTCCCGGATGGAGCTGTCAAATTTCTACACTCGAACGGGGGTCAAGCTGAAGGAAAACATGGGTACAATCCAGTTCCGGGACCCCGAAGATATTGAGCGACTGATCGACGAAGTGGAAGACCTCATTGAGATGAGGTTTCTACGGTACTGTGACATTATGAACCCCTTACACTTGTTGACCACTGGTATTATGCGATCGGCCATTAGCGCCGTCCGGTTACGCGCACGAATGCCACTGCTCAAGCAAGAAACTATCACCGACACTCAGAGGAGACACCTATGCACCCTTGCCGAAAAGGTACTGGATACCAGCAGTGCCATCTATAATAACCCTGCAACACGGAAGTTTCGGTGGCAGATGCAAGCGTTTTTCTTGTGGGATTCTCTCCTTTGTATTCTGAGAAGCATTGCGAAGGTTGGATTCTACTCGCCATCGGAGCTCGATGCTGCCTGGAGGAGGGTTTCAGAGGTCTACGTGAATCACGAAGCGCTGGCACAAGGTCGAAGAAATCTGTACGTTACGATCGCCAAGGTCACTTTGAAGGCCTGGCTAGTGAATCCGCCTCGTAACCCATCTCCCGAGCCTGCTTTCATCACCGCGCTGCGCGCTCAACGCTCTTCCAAAAATATCGACCAGCGGGATTGCAGTATCTTCTCTGCCGACCAATGTACAGACGGGGCCTTTTCTTTCGATGAGCTTTTCGACGATATGAGCACGGCCGACCCAACCGTGAACAATGCTTTCAATCTCAACTCTTCTTCCGATTGGCTATTTTGGGACCAGATGTACGGAGAAGCCAACCTGGGCTGAGAGCGAGTCCTTCACGGATTTTGTTCTCAGCGGGCAGCGCTCGGATTTTGCAGTGAATCTGGACGGCTCAGCGGAATTTGAGCAGCACGCGAGAACAGCGAGCGCAAGCTTTAAGATTACGCGTCTGAAGATTATGAGAAAGATATATTCATGTTTATTCGAGCCCTTTTATCATCCAGCATATCACAATGCCGCTATCTTCCCCGCCCGACGCTATGCACAGGATGGACAAATCACGCCCTGTCCTCATCATCGGTGCGGGTCTGTCGGGCCTTGCCCTTGGGCGGATCTTGACAAATAATAACATTCCAAACATCGTCTTCGAGGCATCTTCGCCGGAACGCAGTCAGGGGTTTGCCATTTCCATGCATGACTGGGGCTACTCACCATTGCTCGAGGCCCTCGGCGGGTTGTCCCCCCAAAGTATGACCAAGGCTGTTGCACCAGACCGCTTTATCGGTGGCACCGGATGGGTTGACCTTGCAATGCGCGATAACATGACAGGCCAGATACTCGTCGAACCGGACGCTAATGCCCGGCCAGCGGTTGTGCGAGCGAATCGCAATGCACTGCGGGCCTGGATTGCCGACTGCGGGGATGACCAGTTGGATGTGCGCTATGGACATAAGCTCAAGATTATATCTGGGTCAATGGGCAACGTTCAGGTAGTCTTCGAGAATGGAGCTGTATATGACGGCTCGACGGTGGTTGCTGCTGATGGTGTGCATTCGACGGGTACGCAAGACTGAAACTGTCCACATATTCTATTGCATACTGGCTGACACGTGTTTACTGACCCTCTGCCCAACGCAGTGCGTTCGCAGGTCCTGCCACATATCGTTCCAGAAGTGGTGCCAGTAGTGATATACCATGGCGAGTTTGAGGTGTCGCGCGACGAGTACGACCATTACCTGCGTCCTGTCATCGGCAATGCTAACATTCTTGCGGGTGTGGGTGACGGGTTTAATACGCCGATTACAGTCTGCAACATAACGAAGACGCGGGTGCACCTTGATTGGTCATATTCCCGACCAGCGTCCGGCGAAAATGACCCATTGTTTAATGATAAGAAGCCAGAAGTCCAGATGCGAGAGCCACCCCAGGCGCTCCTGGATGAACTGCCGTCGCGGCAGCTCGCGGAGCCGTGGGCACGGTACATCAACTCGGAGACCATCCGACAGCACTCAGTGTTCCACTGGATCAGTCGATGCGTGTGCATGCCAACGGTGGATGCCTTGCAAGCTGCGCAGGCAGGCGTGGTGTTCGTTGGGGACTCGTGGCATGCGATGCCGATCTTCGGTGGGGAGGGCGGCAACCATGCACTGGTGGACAGTACTGAATTGGCGGCAGCGATGATCAAAGAGGCTGCTGTGGATCGCGCAGTGTCTGTGTATTACCAAGGAGCTGCTCGACGATGCCAGGAAGCCGTACGCCGGTCACGATCACGATTTTACGTGCTGCACCGACCCATAGCAGAGTGGCGGGAGATTGCAGAAAAGCGGCGCGCCAAGGCGGGCGCTCAGGCAGCAGATTAGGATGACATAGTGAGTTCTAGAGGCTAGAGGTAGCAAACGTCCGATTTCGTATTGGGCGTCATGTTCATCAATCCCACAATTCTCTGTACTCACCGTCGCCTTTGTCCTTACTAAGGAGGAATATATACGATGTATAAATGATGTGTATGTATGGATGGTCATTAATTACACCGATCAGTCACCATTATCGTGCTACCAACCCAAACCATCGCCGTTCGGTCGTCTCGCCTGGCTCAAAACCGACTTTGCGGTCATCCGCCAGTTTCCATAGGACCTGCGACAAGAACGGGACGATTGCATTCTCGATAATTTCCCCAGGCACCTCACCATATATAGCCCGTCCTATTTCGGGGACCGTCATGCCACCCCGTCTCCCGGGCTGCCTCATAGTCTCCGCTAGCACGGCGGTCACCTGCTGCACGCGCGCTTCATTGTGATGGATATACAGTTGCATCTTGGCGGGTAGATCGTCGATGGCCGCTCCGTGGGCTGGGTAACCCCTTGCGCAGTTTAGCGCTGCCATGCGCGCGAGACTTCCCATGTACTCCGTCAGATCCTGCACGACAGCGAAACCATGGCCTAGCACATTGTCCCCAGTGAAAAGCGCGTTCTCCTCTTCCATAAGGAAGCACATGTGATCTATCGCGTGGCCGGGTGTAAATACTGCCCGTACTGTCGCACCTGCTACCTTGAACTGCTGCCCGTCTGCGATGGGCAGCTGGCCTCGGTCTGGTCGATACTTGTAGATGCGTGACTGTAGTGTCGGATTGTGTTTGATCAGATCGGCAATTCCGCCCACATGATCACCGTGCCAGTGCGTTACCAACACATACTCCAGTGTTAGGCAGTGTTCTCGAAGATACTCTACCAGCATGGTGTGCCAGATCGGCCGGCCTTCCCCAGTGTCGATCAGAATCCGCGAGGCACCCGTGCCGACCAGGTATGTGTTCGTGCCCTGCAATTGCATGACCCCTGGGTTGCCGGCCAGGAGCCGAGTCACCCTGGGTGTGAGCTGAGTGAGTGCTGGGAGAGCTGGGAGGGACGCCTCTTGCCCCGACAGGTATTCTTCCCAGTAGCTCTCGTCAAAGGTAATTCGTGTAGACATTGCCTGTGACTCGATATGTGAGTGTAGTAAAGGGGGGAGTAAAACCTTTACGGAAGATGAGTATTGTGCAGGCTGGCGTGGATTGTGTTACCTGTCATTGTGGTGTTGGTCGGGTTGAGTTACGCCGGGCTTTGGTCTCGGATTTTATACTGCCCCTTCTCACTACCCAGCATGAACTGCCAGATCGATAAGGCAAAGTCCGATTTGCCTTTATGGCACGATGAAAATCAGGGCCTCCTCCACTTCTGGCCGATACTGTTTGTCATCGTACCACATTGAGGATACACATCGCCAGCATGACATCCGGCAGCATTACTACAACCACTACCGCGACTGATGATTTTCAGAAGCATCCTTCAATTCCAAGCGAGGAAGTTATATATAAGCCATGGGATCTACTGGTTTACGAGATCTGGGTCCTGGGCATCGTCTCGACCTGGGCCTGGGGCTGCAGTACCTCCGAATACCTGCTTCCACAATTCCGAGCCAATATAGGCAAAAACCACCTCGACATCGGCAGTGGGACAGGATATTACCTTCGCCGAAGTGAAATTCCTGTCTCGACGCTCCTGACACTTCTGGACTTGGAACGGCCTGCGCTGGATCTGGGCTTGCAGCGCTGTGGCCGCCCGGACGCGCGCGGCCTACAAGCTGATATCCTACAACCCCTGCCGGTAACCGACAAGTTCGATTCGGTTTCCATGTACTATCTGCTGCATTGCATTCCGGCCACCGTGGCCGAGAAGTGCGCTATCTTCAAGCACATCAAGCGCAACATGACCCGCGACGGCGTCATACACGGTGCCAGCGTTTTGGGCAAGGGTGTGCGCAACGACAATTGCTTCGCTGCCCATGTGCGCCGCGGCGTGCTGAAAGCTGGCATCTTTCACAATATCGATGATAATGCATATGACTTTGAGCATGCTCTGCGCACGAACTTCGAGGAGGTCGAAACGCGAGTTGTAGGCTCAGTATTCATGTTTCGTGCCTCGAGCCCTAAGCAAAATGAGGGTGATTTGTTAGATAGTTGATTCTACAACTCTGCAAGCGGAGGGGGGGGGGGGGTAGTCTGTTTACTGTGGTAACTGTCATCGCTGGGTTGCGAAGTTGGGATGGTGCAGTTTGGATGTAAAGGCTCGAATGCTTCCTTAGGATACATTGACTCGATTACACATATAAAAATCGAACATAGAAAAAGTGGTCAATAGCTACCCTCGTGATTCCATTCTCTTAATTCAAGTTGGGGAACCCTTGCAAAGATTATACCCATTCATGCTGTCGGACTTTGATAGTACTTGGCTCAAAAGCCCAAACTCCGGCCGCAATCAACCACAAAATTAGCATACGGTAGATGTCTTCTCATCTAATATTTCCCCCAAAACATTCTTATTGTGAGCACATTACCTTCGAAGCCTCGATTCTCACCTTGGTTGTAGACACAGAATGCTCATCACCGGTCTCTTGCAGAACTGCCAGGAGCGCCTGGAGGCGCTCCCTCCTCTTCCTTACGTCCTCTGCACGCTTTCCCTTGCCTACCTAGCTTTCCACCTGCTGTCAAATTTCTTCCAACCCGGTCTTGTGGACATACCCGGTCCCTTTGCTGCTAAATTCACTGACCTGTGGCGTCTGTACAAGGTCTGGCAATGGCGCTTCAAAGAAGATCTCCCAGGGCTACATGCGGCCCACGACTCGACCCTCATACGAATTGGCCCACGCATGGTCAGTTGCTCCGACCCTCGAGCTGTAGATCTAATCTACGGTTTCCATACGGAATTTAAAAAGGTATTCTGCCAAAAACCACCATCGCTAGCTCGCATACTGATCCGCAACAGTCGGACATGGTCAAGGCCATGGCGCCTGTCTACAAAGGCAAGAAGCAGCCCACGATGTTCGCCGCCGCCGATAATACAACTCATGCGCGCATTCGCAAGCCAGTTGCTGGCGCATATGCCATGACCAGCATCTTGCAGGTGTGTGAGACACTGATGTGGGCACAGGGTGGGACTGATTTGAAAGCTGACAACAATGTTTGGAGGCAGTTCGAACCCTACATGGATAAAAATATTGAACTATTCTACAAAAGAATAGACGAGTTGTTTATCAGGCCTAAGATTTCTTGTGATATCCACAACTGGGTGCAATACTGTGAGTTTAACCTACAATGAACAGCCATCTTGGGTTTGAGGCTATGCTCACGTACGGCAGTCGCCTTCGATGTCGTCTTGGAGATGACCATGAGCCAAAACCTGGGGTTCATGAAGGCCGGTGGTGATGTGGATGGCGTGTTGAAACAATTGCAAAAGGATCTGGACTATCGCGGAATCGTATGAACGAACACTCTCCCCCTCCCATGATCTGATCCCAAACATGGGGCCACGACGTGACAGGTCCGCTAACTGCGCTAAGGCTTTGGCAATGCCGATAATCGATCGCATATGGCGGCTGAACCCCATCAGTAGATTTTTCAAGCCTAAACAGTCGGGTCACTTTGCCATGCGCTGTAAGCGTATCCTCGAAGATCGCATCGAATATGAGAAGTCCCTGGAATTCGAGACACGGCAACAGCACGATCAAACGCCGCACGATTTCGCTCACCGGTTTCTGGAGGCACAACGTAAAGATCCGACCATCTCCGACGGTCAGTTGATTGGCTACATGCAGGCCAATCTCATCGCCGGCAGTGACACCACCGCGGTTGTAATGCGTACGGCTATCTACTACGCACTCAGACAGCCCTGGATTCTTAAGCGTATTACAGCTGAGTTGGACGGCTACCATGGCCCACTGCCAGTGCCATTTTCCATTGCCCGTTTCGAGCTCCCCTTCTGTGGTGCCTTGGTGCGCGAGGCTTTGCGCAAACACTTTGCCTTCATCGGTATGATGGAGCGTGAGACGCCCCCCGGTGGCGTCACCCTTCCAGATGGCCGGCGACTACCTGGCGGGGTTGTTATCGGCATGCATGGTGACATGATTGGGCGTGATCGAGTCATATTCGGCGATGATGCGGACGAATTCAACCCTCTACGCTGGCTGATGCGGCCGGGCGAGACGGACACCGAATACAAGGAACGACTGCGTGCCATGAACGCACACGACCTGGCGTTCGGGCATGGACCACGCGGGTGTATCGGGAAGCACGTGGCGGAGATGGAAATTTATAAGTTCATTCCGACATTTTTTGCCTTGATGCAGGTGAGACTCACGCTTTCCCCTTCTTCTTCTTCTTCTTCTTCTTCTTCTTCTTCTTCTTCTTCTTCTTCTTCTTCTATGTCCTGGCTGACCATACCAGCCTCAATTCACACGACCCGAACAGCCGTGGACTGTTCGTCAGCTGTTCATCTTCAAGCAGTCCGGAATGGATTTGATACTGGAATGGCGGCCGGGCAAGGGGCTACACAGTTTAGTCTAGCGTGACACAGAGTTCAACAAACTTTTGTAGGAATTACTTCATAAAACTACTTGAGCGGAGTGCTATATATAGCAGCACAATATTATCATTGTACTAGAGTACTAACAGCCCCGAAAGAGATCTCACAGTATGCCCACCGAATAGTAGTAGGCATAAACTGGGCAGATTTAGGGGCGGTATCGAATATAATTGAAGCTCGCGACTAAAGTAAAGTAACAGACGTAGTAGTAGGTATATACCATGTTAAACTGAAGAGCGTTGTCAGTCAAGTTCTATTGGATTGGAACAAGCACTGCAGTCGACTTAGACTCGAACTTTCACTGAATGATTGTAGTATACAGTAGGCAAGTACTAATATCACTAAGTACTAGCTTAGAGTAGTATATAATTCTACTACGATGGGCTGACTACATCATTGACTGTCAGTGGGTTTCTAGGCCATATACTGATGCTATTCGTTTTGTTTGCCCGGTTTATCTTTAATTTCCGGCATGCAACCCGATGATTCAGAACTAGGATATATTGACCTTTCGAGACATACATAACATACTTAATTTACTACCTACTTCTCAACGACGCTATCACCCTCATAATACTTCCCTACTGACTAGTAAGCCTCGAAGCGGCTCCGGCGCTGTGACTTGGGACTCATTCTCTCCTTGAGATTTCCCTCCTCCAGCGCCAGCTCGTCCTCAATTTCCACATACCGCCGGTAGATCTGAGGCAGGAAGTATGAGGTGATGTCTACTTCCCCTTTCTTGAAGGCGAAGGCAAAAAAGGCCTGAAAGCCGCGTCGCGTACGAAGCTCCTCATCAGAGATCATGGCGCGCACAACGTTGATGTAGGCCTGCGCATCAGCACCCTGTCCACGACGTGTAAGAAACTCCGTCACGGCGTGGATGGCATCCAGGTCGCTGGTCGTATGCTTGCTGACGTCGACCTGTAGCTTGATATGGGGGAAGCTGTACTTGGGATGAATGTCAAAGTAGAAGGTAACGCCACTGACATTAGCGTTGTTCGGTGTTCCATTAGTGGTCGTTCCGTTGTTGTTATTGACAGTGCTCGGGGCTTCGGCCGTCGTCGGGAATTTGGGATCCAGCGCCTTGAGAGCGTACCATAGCGCTTGCAGTTGGGACAGTGACTCAGGGGACTCGGGCTTGCGGCCACCTAGGGTCATTACCGCTGCCAAGTGGGCGAACGAAGTGTTTGCCGTGGTTACATAGACCTTGAACCGCGAAGTAGCAGCATCGCAGCAATCGATAGCGGTCGTGCCCAGGATCGTGAGGTACTGGCCGTGCGGGTCGTGCTCCAGAAATTCACGCACCATGTTCAGCCCATCTAGCGACGCGTCTGGCCCGTAGGCATCCCGCATGGCCCGCGGAAAAATCGTGTGCAGGAGCACCGGGACCTGCGCCGGTGACCGGGTCATCAGTCCTGCCATCACATCGATGCCTTGGGAGTCCGGGGCACATTGTAGGCCGATTAGGATGGAAGAACCTGCCACTGCTCGCGTGGACTCGTCGGTCAGGCTGGGTCGAATGTGCGCGGCAAACTTCCACGCCAGGGGCAACTCCACCCCGGGCACCAGCTGGCCCAACTGGTGCAGCATCTCCTTGGCGGCGTACTCGTTCAGCGGGTCGGCTGTCGTCCCCGTCAGCGGGCCAATGGCCTCGATGTAATGCCGGATCTGGGGTTTGGAGTTAGGACCAGTGCCCCAGCGCCAGCTGTAGCCGATCGGAGAGCCATCCCCGACGCCTGGAGCGACCCGACTGTAGAATCTGGGGGTGGCGCTGATCGGCCGGGGTCCCAGACGTGGGGCGATCACGAATCGGTAAAAGAGCAGCAACTCGACCTGGCGAGCTTCCGGGTAGCGAGCCTCGTGCATCATGCGCGCGAAGTGCCGTCCCGTCGTCTGCCACCAGAAAACCTGGTCGACATCATCCGTTAGAAGGAATTTGGAGACATTGTCGAAGACACGAAGTTGGGAATCGAAGTCGTCCACGTCGGATACAGTGGAACGCATAGTGAATTAATGCCTTCTCGCAACAGGGCTAGAGAGTCACAATCAGTATATCAGGATGGTAAAGGAGTACAGCTCGAAGGACTAGAGCTCAAGAAGGCGGGATGGAGAACAGTGAGAAGAAGGGCCCGTACACATTATTTGCAAGTGTGTGGAAGCGCACACTCTGGATGTGATGTCGGGCTTTGGCACCCTGGTTAGTGAGGTCAGTCCAATTCGGGTTTTACAACATAACGTTCAGGTGCGGCCCCTGCCTCGACTTCTCTTTCGGCTCCATCGGATTTTGTTTCCAAACACCGGCCAAGCAAGGACTGATGGTGTCTCCCACACTCCATACTGGCCGGGGAAAATGCTGCTGATGACTGTCCTGTATAGGGAGGCCTTCATTCTCCAGTGTGGCAAAGGAATTGTAGAAGACAGAACGGCGTAAAAAAAGAACGAAAGAACGAAAGAAACAGGAGAAGCAAAGGAAAGAGAAGGAACAAATTTGGGCGGCACTCCAAACTCATGGCGTCCCAGTATCTACACCGTTTGAGTGCCTGGGTGAGCGAAGGTTCCCTTGCCAACCGGTTCATTCAGCTCTTCCAGCTATTCACTCGACCGGATTCAGGCGGAGCAAGGACTGTTGCTCCTGCTCTTGATGACAATGGCCGTTTGCCCGAATCTCAAGCTCGCGATGAGATACTTTGGCGTCACGCTGCTCCAGAAAAGACCCAGATGTGGGCATTCATGCAAAAAGTAAACACCAAATATGACTACTCTTTCCAAACATATCAAGACCTCCACCACTGGAGTATCACGCACCGCAGCGAGTTCTGGGCCGAGGCGTGGGACTTCTGCGGGATCCGATATTCGCGATTTTACGACCAGGTCGTGGACGATGCAGCTCCAATGTGGCCACCACCCGCCTGGTTCAGTGGTGCCAGGCTTAACTTCGCAGAGAACCTCCTGTTCCCTACACAGACCGTGTCAGAGGAAACCGTCGCGGTAATATCCATCGTCGAGGGGGACGGGGACCGCGAATTTATCACCTGGAAAGACCTGCGCGAGCGGGTACGCCGGTGCCAGGCCGGATTGCACAGCTTGAAGATTCAGCCCGGCGATCGAGTGGCGGGATACGTCGCCAATCACAGCACTGCTCTCGTCGCAATGCTGGCTACGACTTCGCTAGGAGCCATTTGGACGGCCGTCAGCCCCGATACAGGCGTCAAAGGGACGCTGGACCGCCTCGTACAGGTCGAACCCCGGCTCCTGTTCACTGATAACGCCGTCGTCTACAATGCAAAGTTATACTCCGTGTTGCCCAAGACCCAGGAGATCGTCGCCAGTCTTCCCTCCCTGGAAGCTGTGGTAGTTGTGCCTACCGCAGCGAGCATCCAGGCTAACCTTCCGGGTTCTGGGCCTGCGTCCTCCATGACATGCTGGACATACGAGGGCTTCCTCACCCAAGGATCCGAGGCACACCGGCTGGAATTTGTCCATATGCCGGCGGAGCATCCCTTGTACATTCTCTACAGCTCAGGCACCACAGGCGAGCCCAAGTGCATCGTGCACGGGGCTATTGGAACGCTGTTGCAGCACAAGAAGGAACATATTCTGCAGAGTGACATCCGGGCGGGCGATCGACTCTGTTACGTGACGACGTGCATGTGGATGATGTGGCATTGGCTGGTGTCAGGACTAGCCTCTGGAGCTACGGTGGTTTTGTATAACGGATCGCCGTTTTACTACACACCCGTTTCGCAGAACATATCGGTCAAAGAGGAGCTGGCTATGCCGAAGCTGATTGACGAGCTTGGCATCACTCAATTCGGGGCCAGCGCAACGTACTTTTCCATGCTGGAGCGCGGAGGACACTGGCGTAAAACCCCATCCATGAAGACGCTAAAGGCCGTCTACTCCACGGGCTCGCCGCTTGGCCCGTCAACATTCCGTTACATCTATCGAGCTTTCGGCCCGCATGTGAATCTCGGCTCGATATCAGGCGGGACGGACATAATCTCCGATTTTGGCGTGCCCTCCCCGTTGAAGCCCGTGGTCACCGGGGAGATTCAAGCGATTGCGCTGGGTATGGCAGTTCAGACTTGTGGGCCCACAGGTATTGATCTGAGTGCGACAGGCGAGCCAGGGGAGCTAGTGTGCGTCAAGTCATTTCCAAGCCAACCGGTAAGTGTTCCAGTCTGTCCAGGAAGGTCCCATTCTTGATATTCATCTTCCCGCCACGGCATCTTTCCCTCACTGTATGATTTCTCCGATGCAAGCGAGACTGATCGATCTCATTCACATCATCCAGATCCAGTTTTGGGGCGCTTCAGGTTCGTCGAGATACCAGTCCTCCTACTTCGCCAGATACCCTGGAATTTGGGCTCACGGTGATCACATCCGGATCAATCCGCGCACGGGCGGACTGATCATGCTAGGCCGGTCGGATGGGACACTAAACCCCAGCGGTGTGCGGTTCGGTAGTGCAGAAATATACAACTTGCTTCAGCATCGTTTCGCAGCGCAGATTGAGGACGGGCTGTGCGTGGGTCGGCGTCGGCAACAGGACTCCGATGAGACGGTTGTGTTGTTTATCAAGATGCGCCAGGGTCAGCGCTGGACACTGGCCCTGACTGAGGCGATCTGCCGTACCGTGCGGGAGGAGCTCTCCCCACGACATGTTCCAGGGTTAATCAGCGAGTGTCCAGAGATTCCAGTGACGGCAAACGGGAAGAAAGTTGAGGTATTGGTGAAGAAGATAATAAGTGGTCTCGAAGATTCGAATGCCGGAGGCTCGGGTACAGTGAATGTCGAGTGTCTGCGGTGGTTTCAGGACTGGGCAAGTCGGAATTGAGTTGAATCATTGCGGGTACTCTATATATAGCAGAATCAACGGAGTCATAGGACATAGTAAACTTCTCTATAAAGCAATGAATATTTCTGATGTAGGTCAAATGTTGGGAAAGGCAGAGAAATTGATTGCATACTATCTCAGCGCGACGGAGGCTGGAACCCCATCACGTGACCTCCCTTACTAGTCCTATCATATTGACTTAGACATGGAATGGCATGAAATGGGGAATGATTATATTCGTATTTGATACTACGAATATCTTGGTTGAATGAAGTAGTAACTGGATACTTGCAAATTCTGTAGATGTAAAAGACACAAGAGAAAGCAGAAACACAGGAAAGGAGAGAAGAAGACAACCAGAATACACCAAATGACGTCGAAGCAGCCCAGTCACATTGGGAGCCGCCCCATCTTCAGCAATTCTGATCAATCCATTTTTTCACCTCACCGATTGTCGGGCACTCGATGAACAAAGAACTCTTGACATCAATGCCGAGCTCATTGCGGAATTTCTCTGACAGCACCAGAGACATCAAGGAATCAACTCCGAGCTGGGCAAAGGTGGCGTCAGCCGTCAGATCACTCATATTCAGTTTTGTCTCTCGCGATATGATTTTGATGCACTGTTCAACAACTGTCGAGTCGGTGCTTTCCGATTCAGGAGGCGTGGTGGTAGTACAGGCGGTCGAAGCCTCACTGCTCAGAGAAACACAGCCATCACCGTCGCTACCACGACCGCTACTACTAGTAGTGCACCGATCCTGACTCACAGGTGCAGCCGCCGCTATATGGCCGGTCTGTACGTGGCTGGGCTTTGTAGTCAGTCCGTTATACCGCGGCTGCGACGACTTGGTGGTTGCCGAAACACTCGGTGCTTGGGTCCCTTGAGGCGCGGGCGTGTGATAGGCGGCGGCATTGTCAGAATCATTGGGGGGTGAAAAGAACCGACTTAACAAGAGTCGTGGCACACGCCGGAAGCGGATCTGGCACAACACACCGACGATAACATTGTCCCGTAGAATGTAGACATCACCTGCGTGCATGTTCCCGGCCTCCACTGGTAGAGGGAACATCCGGACGTAGCTGACATACTTTGCCCCGGCTTCGAGTGGCTTCAGGAGGCGGAAGCTATCACTGCCTGGCGTGACATAGAAGAAGTCTTGTGTGTTGGAGGCATCGCTGCCATTCATAATCAGCCCTGCCAGGTGACAAACACTATCAATCCAGTGAGGTGGCGTGTGCCAGACGCCATGACGATCTGGATTGAGCGTGATATTTGCAACAGCCTCATATTCATGCATGATAAGATTATCTATGCCGCGATACCAGTCGGAATAATCGACAACATTCTTGAAAAGAGTGTATGCTAGGCGCTTAGAGATACGGTTGGCCACGCCGTCGGCGGCCAGGCGCTGCAAAGTCTCAATTCGCCCCAGAACTAGATGCGCCGTGCGGTTCCACTCAGCGGTCCATGCATCTGGATTCTCAAAGCGGACTGCAGCCGAGGCGAACCATTCAGCATCTCGCTCTCCTGTCACAGCACTGACATTGTACCATTTTAGTGACATGTATTGCGATTCCAGGTCCAGGTTTGCTTCGAGTGCAAGTGGCTGAGAGCACCCCTTAACCGTGCTGCTGACCTGGGCATGTAGAACCTCCAGATCACAGACATTCATGTACACCTCCTTTGCATGGGGCACCACCTTGCGATACAGGTAATCACCCACCGCCCACGCCATGTCCGTCCAAATAGACGAAGTGGCTACACCGCAGTTGTTCATGGTATGTCCATGCATGGTGGCGCGGAACTCGGGAGCCTGCATATCACTCAATACGTGCAGTGTGGCCTTCGTGGACTCGATATTCTCGAGCGTCGTTTGGTGGATTGTTGAGGTTCGCAGCCCTGTTGCGGCGAGTGTTGCAGGTGTTTTGGACCCGGGGGTGGTCATGCCGTATTTAAGAAGTGCTTTGTCAAGTGTCCAAGTTCCCAGGTATGGTATCCAATAATTAGTCTCGTTCCAGCTATATTTGGGCAGATTGAGCAATGCGTACGCCTGCTCGTTAGGTCGAAAATATTCATTCCAAATTGGCGTGATGCCTGCCAGGTGCAGTGTCGCAAGACTCTTGGTAAGTGTATAGAGATTTTCTTCATTTCGACGACACGAAGCTGCGAGTCTCGACTCTGGAAATATCTTTCGGATAAGGCCGATGCAGATAGGGTGCGGGCCTAAGTCAACCCAGACCGTCTTACTATCAACCAGGCCCATGTCTTGTGCAGCTTCAACCGCAGCAGCAAACTTGACCGTGCCCCGGGTTTGGCGGCGCAGATATGACGAGTTAATGGTCTTGCCGTCGAAAACCACGGTACCAAGCATGGTAGACAGGACAGGGACACTTGGAGCTTTAAATGGTATGTTTTCGGCAATTTTTTCCAGTTCCTCTACCACCACATCCATCTGAGAGGTGTGGTAAGCGAATGGGATTGCCAGAAGAACACACTTATAGCTGTTCAATTCGAGTACCTTACGAATAGACTCGATGTCGGCCTGCGCCCCACCGAGAACTGTGTCCTCGTGGGTGTTCTGGCAAGATACTTCGTACTCTATATTAGAGGTTTCAGGCACTCGTCGAAGCAGTCGCTCAATTTCTTCCGGCGAAGCCAGTACTGACAGCATGGAATGACTGTACGGCTTGCAATGCTGTTCGGTAATTTGCGCGCGGCGACCGATGAGGTAAAGAACATCCGCAGCTGACAGGACCCCAGCGACTTCAAGCGCTGCGTACTCCCCAAGGCTATGACCGATTACTGCACTAGGCCGTATCCCAAGAGTACGCCAGAAACGCCCGAGGGCAATTTCCAAGACCAAGATGCTGAGCTGGCTCACCACTGGAGACAACACCCCCTCACCCGTGCTGTCTGTGAGAGCAGGCACGACCGACGGGAAGCCCAGGCGTTGAACAAGCTGGTCTAGCTGCAAGACATGGGTACGGAACACGGGGAACGCGTCGAATAGCTCCTGACAGGCCACAGGGTCGGAGGCTCCCTGGCCGGTGAAGGCAAAAACAACAGAGGGTGAGTTAGCTGGGACTGATTGCACTGTGGTTGTAATATTATTGTCGATCGACGAGCGCAGAAATTTCTGCAACCCAGAAATACTGGACACTACAGTAGCAACACGTAGATTGTGATGCGTACGCCGGGCACAGGTCGTGTATGACAAGTCTGCCAGATCAATATCAGGATTCTGCTCGAGGTAGGCAAGAAGGTTACTGAGATTCCCCTGCAGCGACTTCTTGCTCTTGGCAGAGACAGTAATTGCGTAGGCAGAACGTCCATCTGCACTCATAGGACTGACGCGCTGCCTCTGACGTTCCGGGGCATCTTCAAGTAATAATGTAGTGTTTCCGCCATGGGCACCGAAGGAGTTGACCAGGGCGATGCGCTTTTTGGCTGCGGGTTTAGTCCATGGTGTTGTTTGGAATACCAGCCCAGCATTACGCCGGTCCAAATCCTTCGGGAGCTGCGGATTTACCTCGCTCCTGATGCCAATATGCGGGGGAATGGCATTCTTCTGAAACATCAACAGTACTTTGACGAGCGAGGAGATACCAGCGGCTGCCTCACCATGACCAATATTACTCTTTACAGCACCGAGATATAGCCGTTGATCTGCACGGCGCCGAGGCTTCAAAGGTGCAAATACATCCAGAACTGACTCTGACTCTATGGCATCACCAGCCTGAGTACCAGTGCCATGCATCTCAACAAAGCCCACTTCCAGCGGACTAATACCTGCTTTGCGCAAAACACTGCGGCAGTTCTCTTTCTGATGGCCAGCGTGGGGGTGCGTGATCGAAATAGCATCTGCAGAATGATTTGTTGCGGCTGAAAGTATGACTGCTAGAATGTTATCATTATCAGCCTCGGCATCCTCCAGCCGTTTAATAACAACAGAGCCAACTCCCTCGGCACGGCAGTAACCATCTGCTCCTTTATCCCAGACCTTGCATTGGCCCGTTGGGGAGAGAAAGTGGGCGTTTCCCAGACCCGCGTAGTTATCTGGATCTGTTATAATATTGACGCCACCAGCTAATGCGACATCAATATCTCCCGCCCAGAGTGCCATACAAGCCGCATGCACCGCAGCCATCGAGCTTGAGCATGCAGTATCGATGCAAAGACAGGGGCCCGAGAGCTTGAAGAAATAATTAATGCGGCCAACAGTGAAACCTCGCACTCCCCCAGGCACGGCGTAGGTGCCGATGTTCTGCGACGCATTCAGCTCGCGCCAATCATCGCTGGCCTGGCCGTAGTAGCTGCCAATTCGGTCGCGTCTAGTAGATTGTGTACGTCCAATCACAAGACCGGCCATCTCCATGGCCTCGAAAGCAGTCACTATAGCGAGCCGCTGCATTGGGTCTGTCTGTTCAGCCTACGTAATGGGTTAGCCCTCAGTCCCTGCGTCAGTGATTCACGACACATACCTCTTTAGGAGACATTGAAAAGAATGCAGCGTCGAAATAGCCAGGCCGATCGATGAAATTACCATATGGGGTCTGAGCTGCATTTTCGGTCTTGCCAGTCGGGTCATAATGCGTCTCGAGGTCAAACCGATCTGGAGGGATTGTTGTACAGGCGTCACGGCCTTGTTCAAGCAGCTGCCAGAACTCTTCAGGGTCGTTCGCTCCACCAGGCATCCGGCATGACATACCGACAATGGCCAATTTGGAATTTGCAGGGTTATTACGAAGTCGAGGGCCGAAATCCTTGTGAACCCAATCTACCAGGTCATTTTTTCTGATACTAACCCTAGGGTGGTCTTCGGCGATGGCGTCAAGAATACTTTTGAAGATGATGGAGGTGCGGAATGAGTCGATGTGACATGTCTTCGCTCCGGAGAAAGCCCCAATGTGGTGTTGAATGCCCTTGATTATGTTGTCAAGATAGATAGTGCCCGTGATCAACTCGGTGGCGATTTCTGAAAGCAGACCGCTTGCCGTGGTGGCTGTAAAGGGCTTCCCTGTCCGTGATGATATTACAGAGAGTCGTAGCGGCCGTGTGGTCGGAATAAGGGACATCGGAACGTTCAAAACTGCATTAACATCATCCTGGCTGTATATATGGTTGGCGTGGCAAAGACCATCGTACACGGGTAGAGCAAGGGACTTTGAGTATCGCAGGTCACTGGAATGCAAGAAAGCCGCTTTGATACGTGATGGCGGCCCACTGACGCTCACAGAAGAATTATCGGCCGCGCTAATGAAGACCTTGGACATCTCAGGATTTCCCAAGTCTTGGTTAACCCGCGTCAACTCGCTCTGGACCGAGTCCCTGTCCATGCCAGTAACAACATAAGCCCAGCTTGCAAGTGCACCCTCCGGCTGTGGAGCCTCCAGCTTGCTGGAAAAGTCGCCCACGTAAACGCCCAGCCGAAAAGATACCCTGAGACATTCTGCTCCGTTCTTTATGACCTCCGCAAGCGAATCTGAAAGGGCTATAGCGGCTGCGGAAAAAAGGCCTACGCTGAGGCCAGCCACGATGGTGACATCTTTCGGAAGATCGAAGTCGCTGTCAGTTGCCTCATGATGTCTGCGCTACGTCTTAGCAGATGTAACCCAAGACAACCGGAGTGCTACTTACCCAATAAATGAACCAAGCTGTAATATCAGCAAAAAGGCACTTTCCATGGCCGCACCGAGGCCCAACTCTCGTAAATAACCATTCTCAGACAAAGTCACGATGTTGTCAAAATGCGGCACCCGGCTATTCACAGAGTGTGGGAGTTTGGCTATCTCATCCTGCAGTACCAAGATCGAGTCCTCCAGGTACGCACTGAGGAGTCGGAATCGACGGTCCTTGCTGTGCTGTTGCAGGCGGCGGAATAACTCATTCACGTCATCGTTGGGGAACTCGTTGCCGAAGTACACCAGTTTTGGAGTAGGAATATAGTGGGTTGAGTCTTGGCCATCAGGCTCAGAAGATTGACCCATTTTTCAAGAAGGGCTGGGCTTGAGTGTTATGATTGAACCTCTTGACTAGTGGCCGAGTTAGTGAGCCACTTCCTTGAACTCTGCCAGTGTATATATAACGGATCGCAGATGGACCTTATTGCGCCCGGCTTTTGGACAGTGATGGTAGAGAAATATTACCCCTGATATGACTATTATTTCACAAAATCCATGCGTTCCTGGTCGACACTATCGCGGATCGCGCCCCTGCGGTAAAATCCGGTGTTAGTTCTGGGTTGTTATACAAAACCCGAGGGGCAAAAACCATCAGAGTAGCAGGCGGGAGGGTTAAGGAGAAGATACAGACTAATTGGGTTCGGAACAGGGATGAACATCAGTAGCTTTCTTGATTCATTCGAAACTGCAACATCACAGACAAGAAAGAAGGCGACAGGCCGAGGCGTAGATCGGTGCTCGAGCAGGAGGAAAGGAACAGACGAAACAATGTCCGACATCAGCCAGTTCTCTCACTAGCTAGAACGAGTTCTCGCCTTGACTGCGTCTCTTGCATCGACCAAAATCCGTTTGCCTTTAATTTATGAAGACCATGAGAAGCGCTGGCCTGCCGACCAAGCCATACACTACAATTCCAATTCTTGGTCTATCGGGTTTCCAGGGTATAATTGTCCAAATTTATCTATCAATCTAGAACTCGTGAAATTCGATATCATTCCAAACAGCTCCAGCCCCTCTGGACCCAGTACTATGGCCTCCGCTTTACCCGAAGCACCGCTGTCGGTGATTGACTGGGGAAAGTTGAAGTCGGGAGATCCAGACGAAGGCAAGAGACTGCTCGCTGCATGCGAGGGACAGGGTTTCTTTTACCTGGACTTGAGCAGTGCACCTGCCTTCTTGCAAGACCACAAGTCAGTCCTGCGCTTTATGGAAGATTATTTTCATCAAGACTTGACTGAGAAGATGAAGGATGACCGACGGAGCGATACGCATGGGTAAGCTGTCATGCAAACCCTCTTCTTTCAGGAGTGTCCATGTCTGACTGAACCCACCTTGGGGCAAATACAGATATGAACCGGTCGCTACCTCCACCGGAGCCATGATGTCGTTACCTGATTACTATGAATCGCTGAAGGCGTCGCGTGACGAGCTGCATAGTGATAGTAGCGCCCTGGCCCCGGGGATTCGCAAACACAAGGATCTTTTCCATCGATTCGGTAACATGGCCCATGATGTCTCTATGGTTGTCTTGCAGGAGCTCGACCGCCAGCTCGGGTTGGGCGGCGAGTCTGCCTCGTTCAAGGAATTCCATCGTGAAGAGGCCGAGTCCCTCACCACACTGTCAATGTTCCGCTACCCCAAGCAGGAGACACTCGACCTTGGGGTGGGCCACAACAAGCACACGGACATTGGAACCCTGACATTCCTCCTGTGTGAGCAGTGGGGACTGCAGGTGCTATCCAAAGACCCTGCGGGATGGCGATTCGTGGCTCCACGGGAAGGCCATGCGGTGATCAACGTGGGCGATACGCTTCGCTTCCTATCAGGCAACCGCTTTCGGTCGGCTGTGCATAGGGTTATTCCCACACAGCGTCTGCAGCACGAGGACCGCTACAGCATTGCATACTTTTTGCGAGCGGCAAACGATACCATATTCACTGATAGCACGGGCCGGAATATATCGGCTAAGCAATGGCATGATGAGAAGTTCGACGTATTCCGGGAGACGCACGAAGAGCAGGAGAGACAGCCGATTCTCACGGGTGGAATGGAACGTCAAGAAGCCATTGTGGTCTGAGGCTCCAGAGATATGTAGCATCTATTAGTATATTGGTACTAGGCAGAATGGAACTGTGACATTGTTATTTAGCATCTGTGTCATACCGGTCGGATTAGTAGGCATACCTCCGCTTCGAGCAATGGAAAACAGGAACTTAGAAACCATTACTTGCAGTCAGCCTCCATTGCTGTTTCTTCCACTAATGGAACTCGCATAGCTATGAATACTTAGTCACGGCAAATCGCACATAGGATAGTTAGATGGAAGTGATTCTGATCAAGGGTATACATAGGTCGCTCGACCTCCCCGCACTGTTCGCAGAAGTCAAATGACACTACCCCTTTACAAATGACTAGATTCATCCCGGTAAGCATAGACAAAGTTAGTATCCTCTAAATAACTTGGTATTGAGTTCGACTAATCTAGTTCGACTTGACCCGATTGGCCCTCTTTGGGGGCCAGCTCTGCCATGTGAATGGCTTTAAGTAATCACTATAAGATAGATATCGAAACCAATGAGAAAATAGAGAAGGGTCAAGATTTTAGTGCTTATGTTTCTATTATTTTTGTCTTTTCTTTCTTTGAGTAGTGGAGGGAAGGAGGGGGGGTAGCAGAAAACCTGAGGATCCTTCCTAGTAGTGCTGAAATTGATTTGGAGCGCTAAACTCATTATAGTAGAAACTCTGTGGGTGGCCAGATAACACGTGCTTGGTAGTTACTCCGTAACTAACTACCTCTCAAGTCAGTCAGCCCAATCTATAACCTGTGCATCATCTCCAGTCTCAAAGGCTCAAAGTGTTCAATAGTGCTTAACTACATAGAATCTCACGCATCAGGCCCTTAAGTCGGATTATCGCTTCGTCGCTAATCTGGTAGTGCACGACCAGACGGGCACCCATGAACCTCAATCCGAGCTCCACACCGCGCTTAATCAACCTTTCGGGGCCCCAGGACAGAGGCTTGAGGTCCAACCACACCATGTTCGTTTCGACCGGATAGACCAGGTTGCCACCGTGGGTCTCCCAGAAGGAAGCAATGTCCCGAGCAAGAGCATGAGAACGCTGTAATTGTCCGCCCAGAAAGGTGTCCTCGACGGCGACACAGGCCGCAGCGCACACGACCCCGGATTGCCGCATGCCCCCGCCGATACTCTTGCGGATCCAGCGAGCCTGCTGGGTCAAGGCCCTTGACCCGACCAACACAGAACCAATTGGGGCGCCCAACCCTTTGGAAAAGCACAGGTTGATACTATCGAAGCAGGAACAGTAGTCACACAACGACCCTGCCCCAGCAGCCACAGCCTCCCACAAACGTGCCCCGTCCAGATGCAGTGTGATGCCTTGGGCGCGCGCCCACTCGCTGGTGCGGCGACATTCAGCCAGTGGCATAATCACGCCACCTAGGGGGATCTCTAGGACGACCAGCCGTGTAGGGCAGTCGGTAATCAATGTCCCGCGGTTGAAGTGCGCCTCGACATCTGCCTGCGTCAAATAGAGTCCGTTGGCCGGGCTCACACAATCCACCATTGCGCCGCTCAGACTGGCTACCCCACCTGCTTCGTGCGTTACGAGATGACTACGAGCGTCGCAGAGCACGCTGTGTGGCGGGCCCTTTAGTTGCGCTCGTACACCCAGCTGGTTGCCCATCGTACCACTGATCACGAACAGCGCTGCCTCCTTGCCCATCATCTCTGCAACCCTCGCCTCCAACTCCAAGGTTGTTGGATCCTCTCTGAAGTCATCGTCTTGCAATGTCGTGTTTGCTATGGCAGCCAACATCTGTCTTGTTGGCCGCGTAACGGTATCGCCTGTGGTAGTGGGAGTAGCTAGTTAGCGATGTGCCTGTTGACTAGGGAAAAAGCAGCGACATCAAATGTTGAGGATTTGGGGGAGGTCATACTGCGAAAATCAAAGGCAGCCGACCCGGGGTCGGTCCACTCGCTAGAAATCATGGTAGTTCCTTCCATGTTGCCACTCATTGAAACCGGGCTTCTCAATTCATCTAGTTGACGAATCACACTAGTAATAGAAGTGGTCTTCATTTTAGTGCGGAAGAGACCTAATTATTCGAATCTTATGAAGCAAGGCATTTATGCAAATCGTGGCCCTGAGCAGAGAGCACAAAATAATGGAAACTATGCCCCAAGGCTCCGGCCAAGCACCTGTCCCTAACACCGAACCTGTCCTAGGTGGGCCATAATCGACAGGGTCGTCGAATTCGGGTTTTGGCATCAAGTCCACTAAAACCCGTCCAGAGCCCCGTCACAGCGAAACCCCCTGGTTTACTTACCAATAGGTTGGGCACGCTCCAGAGGGGAAATGGCAAGCACAAGGGGCTAGACTACTCGTTTAGGATCCGGGAGTCTTCCGATCAGTTTGCTCTGTATGCAAATACTACTAGTGAACAAGAGAGTTTTCTCAACTCAGATTTGGGGGGCAGAAACAGACAGGTTACGCCCAGCCAAAACCCCTTGATATAACTATTTTCTGTATCTGAGAAAGACAAGTTATCTAGATACATCATCGCCACCAAATGACTTCGAAACGCTCGTGCGTAGCGTCATTTCCTCCTCACTCGCAAAGCTTTGTTTCTGCGACTTATGCATACCTCGATACCTTCTGTATTGCTGCAATCTTGCGATATGCGCATTTTACTTAGCGCCACCGTTTGCGCGGCCATTGATCTTGACAGCTGTACTGTCGGGAACGCTCCGGGCATTGGGACCCGGGCGGAATTTCACAGGAAGATCTTTCTTGATGAATACACCGTACGACTTCTGATCCAGCCAGTCCTTGTCGACCTTGCCATCAAGCTCCAAGTCATAGTGCCACAAAAGCTTTGCCGTGATCAATCGGGACTCGGCATTGGCGAGGTTCTGGCCCAGGCACTACCCACAGAGACAAGTCAGTCCATGTTAATTCTGGCCAAGGAATACTCCTTGCTATGGTGATTGCTGCTGAACTCACGTTATACGCACCCAAACTGAATGGGTGGTATGCCTCATGATTGTCATCAAGAAATTCGGCAGGTGGGTCGGATAGGAACCGTTCGGGGCAGAAATCCAGCGGGCGCGTAAAATAATCGGGGTTTTGGGCAATTCCAAAGAAAGACATATTGCAACCCGTCTACAAGTGGCAATATGATTAGCAAGGCCAATGATGAGAAACCAAACGGAAGCCACACTCACACCCTCCGGAATGAAAACTCCCGAGGCATAACCACCGCCACGGGGTGGCGTTCGCCAAAGCATGTTGATGACCGGTGGGTACAGCCGCATAGTCTCATTGAGACACGCAGTCAGGTATTCCAATTTGTGTACAGAGACCAGATCGATTTCCTTAGGCGATTTGAAGGATGAACGAATCTCATCGACGAGCGTCTTCATGGCATGAGGATTGGTACCGAGGAAGTAAACCAGACCAGTGAGTAGCGTCGAGATGGTATGGGATCCGGTGCCCACCAGGGTCACAGCGGCAACCACCATCTCTTCTTTAGTCAAGCCCTCGCCACTTGCATTGTCGTCTGCACTTCTGATGGCGATCTTATCCCAAAAGTCCCCGCGGGTGCTGCCGGTCTTGATACGTTCCTCGACACGAGCGCGGGCGTACTTGAAGTTATTGAGACGAGCGAGCTGAAGCTTCATGGGGATGAAGTACGGGGCCAGGAACATCAGACCGCGCTCGCGGAAGAGGAATTTGAGCTGGGTGTCGAAGGCAGTCTCGGCAAAAGTTTTCATCTGTTCGCATCGTGTCAGAGTGGCCAAGGGGAAGGGCAGAAATCGGGTGCAATGGAGGAAAACTCAACCCATTCGTGAACCTCGCCATTCTCAATGCAGTTGAACGGCTCGCTCCATCCCAGGTCACTGATGACGTCGAAGCCCACCATCACGAACCATTTGGTCACATCGATTGACTGGCCCGTACGCGCAAAGTCGTCTACCTTGTTGATGAAGATATCAATATACTTGGTAATGAGGTGTTGCTGCTCTTGCAGACCCTTCTCAGAAAATGCGTGGTTCAACAATCGTCGAAAACGAGCATGGTATGTTCCCGCGGTGTTCATGATACTCTGAGGGCCGTTCTTGCCCTGTGGCACACGCTTGGGGTGGCGCGGCCATTGTGCCCTCCCAGGAACTTTGGCAAAGATGTCATTCCACGCCGCGTTATTGGTGAAACTGAGTTCGTTGGGGCCGATTCGCGCAATCTCTCCGTACTTGGAGTGCACCTTAGCCGTCTGCTGAGGAAGGCGACCTGTCCATTGCCAGTAGTCCTGCCTGCAAATTAGTAGCGAACAAGGGAAAACAGGGGAAAGACCAGATAAATATACCCATGGTACTTTGCTGAATTTGCACAGCAACGGTCCTGGGATATTGGCCAGAGGATGGAGGAAAATGTTATAGAAGACGCCACAAAAGTACCACACCACCCAAGTACAAGCGAGTGCTCTCAAAACGAGAGCATAATTCAAGCTCTCCAGATAGCTAGATAGAGCCATGACCGCGATGGGTTGATTGTGATTACTGGAGTCGAGGACCGTCGAGGCGGAAGGAAAACCTACAAGTTGTAGGAATGAGTTACTGCGAGAGGAAGATTTAATGCTTAGAAGAGAGGGTTTTATCAGCTGCTTTCGCCTACAATCTTCTTAAAATCATTACTTCAGCTTTGGATCGCACTAGGCACTAAGCCCGTATCGAAGATTTCTGCCCATATTGGATCGGAACCTGCATGTGGAACGGCTCTGGACTTTGCGGATTTTGTTGCGCCAGCAGAATCCGGGTCATGAGATGCGGCCAAGCACCATTCAAAACGTACAGACGCCTCAACTGATGGCAATCAGGTCCTAAGGTGAAACTTCTTTGATGCGAATTCAGTTCGAGAGAATTGAGAGAGTGAAATCTCCTCGCTCCGGCTTTTCCTTCCTTCCTTCCTTCGTAACACTTAACACATACCAGAAACATGTACTTTTTTAAAATCATTCTTCCCCTAATCCGCATTCTTCATTTTATCCTAATTCCGACTTACTCAACCCCACTTGCACTAGCACAACCATTCAGTGTCATTCCACTACCAAGGTGACTCAACTGCTCATTGTACTAACTATTCCACGTAATTTTCTCCTTAATGGGCAAACTACATCGACACATTGTTTCTGTTTCTGTCAATTTAGAGGATGTCATAATCTGGAGTAGTTTATAGTAACTTTGTATTTATTATTTTAAACTTACATGACACATGATCAGTAGACTGGAGAGGGTATAACCGTGCCATTCTAATAGTAGTAGTTAATTAGATGATTCTACATTTTTAATGCCTGGTTTAACATTATTTCTCTATCACGTGCCTTTCTTTTTTGGGTAAGATATGGTTTCATACCTAGTGATAGTTAGTACTTATTTTTATTACCTATTCTCATATCTGACTTTGCTCTCAATTGTGACAAGGGACATCATCAATGGTCTTGGGTCCTTACTTACATGGCTGGAGTTGGTAATAAGTATAAGAGGGGGGAAACAAAAGAAAAAAGAAGAAACAAAAGAAAAAAGAAGAAAGAAAAAAAAAAAAGAAAGAAAGAAAGAAAGAAACAAAGAAAGAAAGAAAATAGATGAATGCAAGCATCAGACTCATGTACAACAATCTAGCAAGCTTCCATCTGCCTAAGGACCCGACTCGGGGCTTTTCTTGCTCGTGGAATATCCAGAGAGTAGGTATCATGATATGCCCGGCATCGGAGTGATGGCTTACCAGCTCCCGGGCCCGATCCAGGGCTGCCGCCTATTGGATAACTCATCGGTCCTTGGCCAGCAATTCGGGACCGAAGCAAGATCCGGCTTTGTGATTGGTTGCTATACGCACTCGTTGCATAGAGTACTACTAGGGCTGTTCAACAAGGACTAATAGTATAATATGATATATAACGAAACACAGGTTGCTCCAGATGAGCCGAGATTTCCTCCCTCGGAGTCCCATTCAGAGTCACAAAATACACCACCACAAAGATCACATACGAGAAAAATGAGCGAAAAACATGCAATGGCATCCAAGCATGACCTTGAAGCGGGCCCCAAACCGATCACCACCCCCGAGCCTCCCAAGGAGGCTGAAACCGACAAAGATCCAAACCTCGTCACCTGGAATGGAGACGATGATCCGGAATTTCCCAAGAATTGGCCGAGGGGCCTGAAGTGGAAGAACACCTGGTCGATTTCACTGTTTGTCTTCATTTCGCCCGTTTCGTCATCGATGATTGCCCCCGCCCTCGATGATCTCGCCCAGTCGCTGGGGATGCATTCGGAAATCGAAATATATCTCTCATTGAGTATCTTTATTCTCGCGTATGCTATCGGTCCTGTCTTTTTCGGTCCGGCATCTGAATTATACGGTCGAGTACGTTTACTTCAAGTCAGCAATGTGTGGTATCTGGCCTGGAATCTGGGGTGTGGGTTCGCGAAGACCAAGGGGCAACTTTTTGCTTTCCGTTTCCTTGCAGGTATTGGTGGCAGTGCACCGCTAGCTATTGGAGGAGGAGCCATCAGGTGAGTACATGTAAAGATGAATTGATATACCCACCTCGCAGAAAAAGCTGATCTCAACTGGCAGCGACATGTGGTCCGCAGAAGAACGGGGTAAGGCCATGGGTGTTTATACTCTTGGGCCACTCCTAGGACCAGTAATCGGTCCGATCGCTGGTGGGTTTATTGCCGAGTATTCAACCTGGCGCTGGGTATTCTGGTCTACCTCCGCTGCTGCTGTCGCAGTGCAGGTAGTTGGGTTTTTCTGGTTGAAAGAATGTCATCCGGGCACGCTATTACGGAAGCGCCGTGACCTTCTTGCTAAGGAGACAGGGAATGGAAACCTCCATACTGGGGAGGTAGTCGAGACGCTGGCTTACAAGCTTCTTCATGCGCTTGAGCGGCCGGTGCGGATGTTCACGACACAGCCTATTGTCCTCTGTATGGCACTTTATATGGCCTACCTCTTCGGCGTCACCTATTTGATGTTTGCGACCTTCCCTGATATTTGGTCCGACGTCTACCACGAGAGCTCTGGGATTGGAGGTCTCAATTATCTTTCCATCGCGATTGGATCTTTCATCGGCCTCTTTTTCAACCTCAAGCTGGTGGATCGCATATACAGAATCTTAAAAGCCCGGAACAACAATGTTGGCAAGCCCGAATTCCGAATGCCGTCATTGGCTGTGGGTTCAGTTATTAGCACCATTGGGCTCTTTTGGTACGGCTGGAGTATTGGAAATACTCACTGGATCATGCCGAACATCGGGGCGCTGATATATACCATGGGTACCATCTCCTGCCTACAGGGCATGCAAACCTATATCGTTGACAGCTACCAAACCTACGCGGCCAGCGCCATGGCTGCCTGCGCTGTGCTTCGGAGTTTGTGTGGTTTTGGATTCCCACTCTTTGCTCCTTATATGTATAACAGACTGGGTTATGGTTGGGGCACCAGTGTGCTGGCCTTCATCGTCATAGTGTTTGGATGGGGTGGGCCAATGATTTTCTGGAAATTTGGGCCCCGGCTACGTGCCATGTCTGGATATGCATCTGGATAAGTGAGGCAAGAACTTGACACACGGGGAGGGCTGAGTGAGAGACGGTAGGTAGCCATTACGAGGTGGAGATTGTATTTTCCGCCTGGATTGAATTCGGCAGTAGGAAGTTATCACTGGGGCAGATGGAAGGATGATTGGACGGGTTGTACTACGAGCATTGTATTAGTATTTACCAGTTGCCATAGAATAATAGCTCCTATTCAAATGCGAGACGATTATGACTTAGTTCGTTTGTCCTCTGAATCTAGTGCACCTTCTGAACGAATAGCAAATCCTAACTCATAGACCTGGATGTTGGTAGAAAATCGGGTCTACGCACACATATCATATCCTTCCTACTTATAACATCTATTTCTCTGACTTCAAGGGCTTCCGTCGGCAGAGCACCATTCAAGCTTCACCTGTCGTCGTTCGCGATTGTTCAAAAATAATCCGATTGCACAGAATGATATGCGTCCGTTGTCAGCAGCATGTCGTCCCGCGCATGTACATCGTCTATGGGCATTGTAGCCATATTCCAGCTCTGATGTCCAAGTTGCGGCTGGGATACGGTGAAAGACGCCGTGGGCATAATGGATTCGCTGATTGGCATGTCACCACTTAGTTGGGGATCAATTGGGGTGTGTTCCTCAGCAACCATGGGCACCAACGGGTCAGTAGCAGAAACCTCCACTACCTGGCCTGCACCGAATTCATTACTATTTTTCTGGAGTAACGACGACAGCTTCTCCCGAGTCTTATTCATCATCTGCACCAGGTGTGCTTGGGCTAGTTGGCAGCTATGCGAACTTGGAAGCTCTTCGTGCTGTCTATATGAAGCCTCAATAATTGGCCACGCCCTCCGAACAGTTTCCACATCACTGCATATGTTACACTCCCTAATTGCTGTGGACAACGCGAGGCATGGAATGGTGATGTACCAGCGAAAGCCGCTCCCGCGAGGATCGGTGCAGAGCAGGTGTGCCTTTTCTAGATTTTGCAAAGACCATCGCAAGAGACTTGTATCGCCTTCTAATCGCGGAGATGCCAGTGAATCATAGCGACCCGTTTGGCTACATCGAAACGGTAACAGCTCTGATAGACGGATCGCCGATACAATCGATTGGGTACTATGCCAGGTAAACCAGGCATACGGAGAGGACTCGGGATCACAGTAGTGTAGCAATGTGAACACTTGCTGTTGGACTTCTCGAGACAGTTTGTGTCTTCCTGCGGCAGTGCTGCAATCGGGTGAGCCAAAATTGAGTGCTCGACCGGCTACTTGTACGTGATATGTCACAAGAGCAAATGTCGTGTCCGTGAGCTGCTCCTGTGAAGCAACTGAGTACTCTGTATTCACGTCGAAATCGGAGTCATTGACATGTGCCACATTCGGAATTGCACATGCTGCGCCACTGTGTGTTATAAGTGGCTCGGAGCGTTGCGCAAAGGACGCCTGAATGTCGACAAGGCAAACAGTGAGCCACAACCGCAACCGCATCTGCTGTTGGAAGAAAGATTCCCGAGCCCCAGGGTGGTCATTTGGCCCCTGATCCAGCCTCATGGCTCTCGCGAGCCTGACAGCTAGGGCAACGAGTGCCCAAGCAGCGGTGTCCTTGTCTTCGGATCTTCTACCAATCTTCGGTGAATTAGTGGCAGTCGCTAACGGTATCATTAAACACCTACAAGATACAGAATGAAGGCTTGAAGGACGGTCATATCTCTCGATGTCAGCAACCCAGCCTTCTCAAAGGCGCCTTCACATAATTTGCGATGCACGGCCATGATTGTCGATTTGCTTCGTTGGAATGTGGCCTGACAATGTGCTTCTGTCATAGTGTTGGCTGCAACATAGCAAATAGCAGATTCCAGCGCTCTCACCGGAATATCATCCTCGGATGATTCCAGATATTCAGATGCCCCATCTAGCATCCATTTGCTGAGGCTAGGCCGGTGTAGGATCTTGATTATTGGATCCACGTTTTGGAGGTATACCTGGCATAACTTGCTTGCTCCAAGTTTGTCACGAGGCAGTGACATGAAGCTAGGGGACAGCGAATTACCGATGCTCAGCATGCCGAGAGTGCTGGGCCCGTGGTTTACGGAATTGCGCCGCAATGAATTTGTTTTCAATCCTCTATCGCTTGCGCGACCGGGAGACGGCTCCAAGTCAGTTGCTACCGACGGGTCATGCATCTAGTGAGTTTTAGTGTATAATGCTTCTCAAGTGGGATGATGGGTACGTGTAATGAGTGCCCTTACCCCATTGCTTGTAAATTCGGCCCAGATATCGTTGCCAGAAATCTCCGGGCATCGTCTAGCAAGACTTGAAGTTTGGATGGCGGGAAATTGTTGAGTCTCTAAGCCTAGAGTCGTTTGGACTAACTGCATTACCTCACAATCCTGTTAGCCGACAATCCCTTGTCTCAGTCTTATCGCACTGCCATATGAGCGCTTTACCATCGTATTTCCCCCAGTGTTTCCGATTTGAAGGTTTTCTTGAGCGTCTGCAATCCTGTTCGCCTCGTTGATCTTGACTTTGTCGGCTCCTGAATCTTGCAAGAGGCTTTCGAGCTTCCGGATATGATGCGACAGGTCCCCAACGATGGTTCCAAGATCGTTCTTCGTTGAGTCTGTAGCGGATTGTATCTTCTTGCTCACTTGTGAAACCTGGATGTTAATGCTGCTCTTAGTATTTTTGAAATAAACAAATAGTATCCTAAAGAGAAACAAAGCCATCTTAAAGCTGGGATTGAGTTGCTTACAAGTTCCTGCAGAGCACTTCCCTCCTCAACAGGCCCCATCTTATTTGTTTCACCCTCCGGAATAAGTCTCTCCAGCCCATCCACGGGTGCACTCGAGCCCCCATACTCGGTTGTTGACGTCGCTTTGGGATTACTGAAATCTCCGTAGCTTTCATTAGCTGAAGGAGATGACGTTCTGGACCGGGCAGGGCGTCCGTATCGACCTCGAGGGAGTCTTGGGCGATAAATGGGCATACACGCAACACCAGAGGAAGTGCAATTAGAGCATGGGTCAAGCTTATCACACTTGAGCTTGCGGTCTCGACACAAGACACAACTAAGCTGTGGGACAGTCCGATTTTTCTGCTCTTGGCTTGGAGAACTGGCCATCCCCGGGCGACTTGAGCGCTGCACAGTGTTTGCTTTTGATAGAAGACGCGGCATCCCCTATGTATGAACTCGGGGAGCCTAACCAGCTGAATGATGGCAATTGATAGTACTAAGGCTTTTGATTAATAGATAGAAGGGGAGAGGCAAAGCCCAAGCCGCACAACACCCCTGGGTCCCAGTCTTATATGTACACTAGATAGTAGCAGATAGCCGCAAATCTCACCATATCTTGGCACGAGGAAAGGCTGCATTGTAGTGGTACTTGATCACAGAGTGGGGAAAGAAGAGGAGGAGAACTCACATCGACGATGAACTAGATGCATTGTTTAGCTTTCTGACGGGTTGATCGGACCAACAGCCTGATATAGAGGGCAACCATTAGTGGACAACTCGCAGATTTTGCGGTACCTACTACTAGTACTCAGTGCCTAGTAGGGGTTCGTAATATAGCCTAAAGGCGTGTGATTGGGTGACTGACATACTGAATCACCCAATGCAAATATTTCAATTGGCCAATATTTCTACGCGCCCTATGCAGCCCATGTAGACTACTAAGCACGAGGTTTACACCAGCAGTGTCTGCTGATAGAGGCGCAGCTAAATCGGTGACCGGCGGAAACGGATGGTGCTCGCCCTTTCGGGTAATATCAACATGCGGATATCGCATGTAGGTGCTGCAGGTCCAGGATCACGAGAATGCTAGCAAACAGTTTTCTAGTACCCAAGGAAGTTGCGAGTGTATTGAAACCAAGTTCGTCACAGTACTATTATTACTCTGTGGCTGCTGCACTGCACTGCAACGCTGGACAGTACCAGTATTTCAGATAAATACTCAGCTCATATCTTCCATTGGCTACTACAAGCTTCACATACTAGTGAGTACTACACTAGACGTCCGCTGGCCTGGAAACAAAGAGAATATCTGAAGAATATAATCGGAAGGCATGTATTTTATAGTAAGAGAGACACAAAGGCATTCTTTACATAAGGCCATGTATGTCGTCAAGTCGTGTTAGTCAAATATCCACGTGGGAACCAAAGCTCACACTTTGTAGATCCCGGCACGGTTCATGGGCGGGCCGTAGTCTCATAGGAATTGGATCGATTGACTTAAGAATGTTCAAAGTAACATTACATTCACACATAGGCAGCACCATCATACATGCTTGGTTGTTCTGTCCTCCTATAATGCCAAATCTGGGTAACAGCCGTAGGAAATAATCGGAAATCGTCATTTTGGTGATTTCTTCCGCTGATTCCAGTTGCAATGTTTTTATCCGTTTCCCCATAACTAGTGAACTAAGTGAATGGCCAGGGCTGAATAAGCGCTATTCTAAATCCGGCTAATGAGTACTGTACCTACTACTAGGTCCTTACCTATAGCAGCTGGATCAGAACTCAGGCCCCTTTCTTCTGTCGCTGATTGGCTCCGGATCAAAGATACCTTTACTCGGGATTCTGGCAAAGAGGTTGTCCGGATTTTCGTACTTCTATAGATAATCAACCAGGGGTGGAGAGGCTACTGGGAAGGTCTAGCGAAATGTTTAGCTATTCATAGTATAGTGAGCTTTATCTTTGAAGACCTTGGAATCAGTCACTTTCCCCCTAACCCCGATTACTAGTACTGGATTCAGCTACTTACTACTGATTCCCAAAAAGAAAAAATAAATAATATAATATAATATAATATAATATAAAAAACAAAATGAACCACTTGCCCAAGACGGGCTAAGAAAGTCTGTTGTCCGCTTGTCTCATGTGCCATGCATCGCTCTCAACGTTTCATGCGTAACTAGCGGTTACCTCTTTTCCTTTCCTTTTCTTTTCTTTTTCTTTCCTCGTCTCTTTTCTCCCACCATCCCTCCCCTCTTCCCTTCTCCGGCCTATCCATCTGTTCACAAACCTATACATCTACCACACATACGAGCCGTCTTCACATATAGGTACATATATCCCAACTCTCCCTGAACCCCTACTCAAAACTCGAACAGTTCCGTAAAGTACCAATCTACACATGAAGCGACTACTAGTAGACTAACAAATCATGGACCACGTCCCACAAGTGGAGGTTTTATCGTTCATCTAATTTTGGACTAAGGACATTGTTCCTCCGGCTAGATTCGCCGCCTGGAGTACGATCTAGGATCCTCAACACATCGTCAAGACTAGTCAAATTGAAAGATCAATCAAACCAAATCGAACGTGTGTAGGGAGTACTCCTCACGAGAACTCCGTACCAAGTAGTACTAGCCAAGTAGTACTAGTACTACTAGTCACTCACTACACTGCGCGCTTTCCCCTCCAGTAAGAGCTGCCAAGCCTATCCATTATCTGGGCGCCTAGCCTTCCGACAGGGGTTAGAATCCCACGAGGCTTTACACAGTTCGCTTTCGTCGCCGGGCATGCACTCGAGTAAGGCCACCGCATTAGGTTGTGTGGTATACTCTGTTGGCTGGCATGGATGATTGCGTTTGTGTGGCGGCGGGCCAACCAAATTAGTAGGATTCTCTTCTTATCGCCCCACAGTGAGTGGCGGGTTTGCTACCAGGGTTGAGGTGTCTAGAACGTAGTACTAGCATGGTGGGATCGCTAGTAATTGAGGGGGTGTGTCTCTGCCTATGCTTCACAAATAGATGAAGTTCAAAGATGGGTAACAGGCGTGCCCCATGTCATCTGTACTGGACTAGGTTGCATGGTGAAGTGTTATGGTGGTGGGTCGTTCTCTCAGAGAATTCGCCAAAGCGGGGATAGTATGAGGTGACGTGCTGCTAGTCATATCATGTCAAACTACAAGTACTAGGCTAAGGGGCTGGAGTGTCGGTGCGGAGAAAGGCTCGCCTTGGTAATATTTTTTGCTGACTGCAAGTCCCTTCATTTCATAGTATATACAAAGTCCTAGTCATAACGATCCCTCCAACGCCAGCAACGTGCTATTTATCGTGAATCATACACCTCCCCTGTCCCATATGCATTGCAAAAGTTCTAAACAAACGTCCCCCTTTCCCTCTAATCCATGCGCTTGTACAGCTTGGCCTTGCTGGATCCACTGCAGCAGGAGGGAACTGCTGCAGCAGGTTCCGGGTGGAGAGTAGACTTGTTGAAATTCTGCGAAGACTGCGGGACGTCCACGGCTGGGTTCTTCGTGAAGAAGCCGTCAGGACGGAGCATCACGCTGATGCGTTCCATGGGCATGACGGGGAAGTCTTCGACACGGGGGTTGTGGGTGAGGCCGAATGCTAGAATGAGCGTGTTAGCTGAATCATCCTTGATCTCTGTACATGAACAACAAAGGGGGTAGGGAGTGGTAGGACTTACTGTGCCAGAGAACCACGTCTTCGTTCTCAGTAGGGTCATTCCGCTTGGACCAGGTCTCCACGCCAACAGCGCGTCGGCTCTGGTTGGTGAACTCGCCCGCAGCATACAACTCATCGTCTTGGTATCTGGTCACCCAGATGGGCTTGGTGGCGAATTCGGCACGGCCGTAGCCAATGGCTCTCTTGCTCTGGAGGAGCATTTGGCTAGGTGCCGGGTGGAGCTTGTAGGAAATGGGCTTGTAGGTGATGGGGTTGATGACGTTGTCGTTGCGAATCTTGAAGACCCGGTTGCGGTTGATGTCAAGGTCGGCTGAGCCTGCCTTGTCCATCACAGTCTGCTCAGTGGTGTAGCCTACTAGCCAAGGGTTCTTCTCATCTTCGGGAAGAGGTACACTCTCCTCATAGTAAACAGTGTTCTTGTGGCCATCCAGGGCCGGGTCAATGCGGAAAGAGAACATGTGCTGGTGATAAGGAGCCATCACGCCCGGACCAACGTTGGTACCCCACTTGACAGTCTCGCCATTGGTGTTATCAAAAGGCACCGTCGATAGAATTCCGGTTGCGCGCACTTCCAGTTCAATGTTGGCGGCCTGGTCGAAGATGTAGGCAAAGATGTACTCGTAGTTAGCGACGGTGCAGATCATCTGCAGGACAAGCTGGCGGTTGCGGACCACGGTAGCAGCGCCGGATCTGTAGTTAGTGTGCTTGTGTTGCAGGCCATTGTCCTGCTCGTGCATGCAAATGATGTTCTTCAGCAGGACCGGGTTTCCCTTGCAGTCAGCCCGGTAGCCGTCGAAGTACTTGATATGACCCAGGCAGTCGCAACCCAGCGTTAGCTGGTTGGCGTTGAGACCAAAACCGACATCGCCAACGTCGAAAGCTTGCTTGCGGTGGTAGGGAGCGCGAGGGTCTATCATCCACATTAGCATATCTTTTACATAAAAGATGTCCGGTTCTGCCTACCTCCGTAAGGGACGGTCATTTCTGATACCGCAAGGCGGTAGAAGACGCTGCGGTTATCATAGGTGACGTTGTAAAGAACCATGCCCTCCCGGTTGTTGAAGCCAACCCTGAAGCGCCACTTCTGCCAGTAGACAAAGTTGCCATCCACCGAGAAAGAGGGTCCTTCGGGTTGCTGCACAATGTAGGGCTTGAGGTCTGTCCGAATGGGCTCATCCTGCAGGTCATGGGCGTATTGGACTGCCTTGACGGGCTTCCAGGGCTGAGTCTCAACGGTCTGTGCATCCGACCCACCCGGTAGATAATCCATGCGGATCAACTCATGTGTAAAGGCATCGAACACCGGGGAGAACTTGCAAGGCAAGGAATAGTGGTTGTTTTCAGGGTGGTCCACTTCCACCATGTACATGAAGCACTGGAACATGCGCCTCGACTCGGTCAGACTCTCGGTACCGTACATCCACGGGTCATTGCAGACAGTCATGCCGGGGGGTAGCTGGAGCTTTGCAATTTCCGCCTGCACTGCGGGGTGCTTCATGCAGACTTCTTCGATAACGGCCAATTCATCGATATCTACTGGAGGCTGAGGCTAGCTGTTAGCGTAAGAACAATATAGGTCGAATCAGAATGTACACACCTGGACTCCCTCCGGTAATTCCTTGACGTAAACGACGGATGCGGTGTCCGCGTTCATCAACGCCTTGCACCATGCGCCGGTATCAAGGCGGTAGAAGTAAGAGTAAAGAAGACGCGCGGGCTTCGGAGGAAGGGGTTTCCTTAACCTCTCAGCCTCGATGTATGGGACGACATCCTTCTTGATGGGCTCGTGGATATCAATACGATTGTAGC